ACGCTTGCAATCCACTGTTTTACGTTTACTTTTGACGAAAATCTGGCACGTTGGGAATCAGTAAAACGGTGGCAAGCGGTTTTTCAGAATTGCTCGGCACGCGTACAGCACTGTACACTTATGGGATGTCTCAATGTCTCTTTGGGGACAATGAAAGTGGACATTCATTACTAGCCTAGGCCAAAGCAAAGCTTGCAGCAGCTTTGCAGAAAGTTTCGAAAAGCAAAAAGTACCCGGTAGTTATAAATTATAGTGCACCTTTTTCTTGTGTGAATTTTCGCATTGCACTGCTGTAGCTATGCGTTTCATCAGTCGGAGACTGCTTCCATTTATTATATATTACATCAATAGTCAAGCTAATGCTGTGATATCTACTACTAAGCTGGTCATTTTCAAATAAATTTTAATATGTAAAGTTTGGTTCTTATTTATCTATAGTGGGTAGATATGTATAATTTAACTGAAGAATTGCAAAATGTGTCATGTCATTGAGATTTCAGTTTCACCTTGAAAGACTCCTAGCTGGTCGAACTTGACCATAATTCGTTTATTTCGGCAAAGTGCCCTTCGTTTGTCCAGCACCTAAAACAAATATTTTTATTTTTCTAAGATTATTTGCTCCAAAAGCCAGTTTTGCTGCTCCCAAACACTGTTTTGGCTGCTTCAAAGGCCATTTTTGCTGCTCCAAAACGTTGTTTTGGCTGCTCCGAAAGGTGCTCCAAAACGGCTTAGGCCAATCACATCACTGGTCATGTCATTTCTCCGAGTGACGGAACGACGAGTTCGGACTGATGACTTCTTCTTACCCCGAGGATATGCTGCTGCTGCCTTTGGATCACGCTGCAAGAAAAACGGCCTAGCAAAGATAACACTCTCTTTCCTTCGGCATCTGGTTGTGTAGCACGAATTTGTTAAACCTTTAATAGATAATAGATTTTGGTTGTGTGATTGTTCAGAATTACCTTCGCCCTAAATATGGGCCCCTAAAGTGTTTGTGCGTGGTCGATTGCTCATTTTTCAGCGTCAATTTTTTTTTTTTTTTGCTGTTTAATTTTTGTTTTGTGTGTGTGTGAAAGTATAGCTATTTTTGTGTTTTCTCTTGCCTTCACGCGTTGGTATTGCGGTGCTACGTACTTCGAAAAGCGAGGGGAGTTTTGTGTTGTGAGAAAGCGTTTAAAGTTGGTGGGCCGCAATTACGACGACAGTAGAACTGTGAGCCACCCCGCCCGTATTCCTGTAAATGAAGCCTGCTCCGTTTTTAAAAATGACAATGCAGCGTTACCCGTTTTATCTTAACAGCGTCTCCCTAATCTTTGCCTGAGCGTCCGTGTCGACGAGCTCACCCTCCGTCATTGATGGGCCGGGGGTGGGGGGGGGAAGGGAGGAGATGCCGTTGAACCCCTCCCGAAATAAAATCCTGGCTACGCCACTGGCTGCGGGGTCAACATTTCTGTTGTTTTCCTGCTCTGTTTTAGTTTGCTCAATTCGGGAAACCATGACTTACATCAGAGGTTGGGTGAGTGTCACTCAGGCTTCAGAAAGTGGTGTTGCCAGCTTAAAAACCAATAACCTGCTAAGGGAATATTGAAAAGCCACTAAAATCCGGTAAATTTAGCACGCTGGGTAAGGATGATTTTTTAACACTATTTACTGCAATAATTAAACTACAAACATCAGATCCACTAAAAGGGTCTTAAAGGGGCCCTCATTCCCATTGAAGCGGCTACCTTTCTTGTAGTTTCCACGTCTCTTGTGGTACGGGCAACCCAGCGGGCACGGAAAGAGTAACTAAATATCAGTGCTTCATATTCTAACCGGACGACGCGGAAACCTCGTCCCCCTGCGGGGGCGCCCCGTGGTATCGGAACGCGCGCGGCATGTGGCAAAATCGTGACGTTGTTGGTTTTGACATCAGCCGAGGAGAGAGAGCTGCCTCGTACCCGGGCAGCTCTCTCCCCTCGGTCCCACTTCCTTTCCCCGTCTTCCCCTCCCTCCCCACATTCCTCGGTCACCGCGGCAAAGGGAATCCTCCGGTGCGGGAAAAGAGGGGACAGAGAACCAAGGACGTCATGAGTGAGGTTATTTATGCTTGTTTCTATGATTTTAATACGCCTATTATTTAAAATGATGCGAATTTCGAGAAAAGAAAACATTCACTAACTTACTACCTTCAGTGTGCTCAGGTTCGGTGCAAATTAAGATAACAGTAAAAAGTTGTTGCAGGTCCCCTTTAAAAAGGAGCTCTCCTGTTTCGCTCGGAATGCTTGCATGCACAGGACAATGTTACACTACATAACCTTACTGTTACCAAGTGTGTAATCTACCATGCCTTACCATACCTGCTGACATAAATTTACTTAGTTCCAATCTCTTGTGTAATATTTGGTGGGAGTTCAAAGCTTCCCAACCAAATTCACATCATTGCAAAAGGTTTGATTCTCCAGCATAGGCATCTGACGACTTGTCGGACGTGGAATGAAATTTCCAGTAACCAGTCTCAAAGTTTAGAATCCCTTACCTGCCATAGTTTTCCTAATTGTGCATAGTTCATGGTAGGCTCATGTCATCTTACAGACCTGAAAAAAAAAATCAAATATTGATTCCCCAATTTAGTTCATAGCATGTTTCAGTGTTTGCCGCCTCATATCTCAATGGCATCGCAAGCGTTATTCTCACTGGCAACAGTTTTGCCGAGAATACAGTGATGTGATTGCTGTGCCAAACTCCGCCATTGGGCTAACCCTGCTACATCCTGCTACATTTCGCCAAAATATGGGTAATCTGCGCCAAGCCTGCGCCAAAGAACCAATTTTGGTCGCCTTTGAAAACGGAAACTAAACTGAGTACCGTAATTGAGCACACATGAGCTAGGTGGTGCAAGCAGCCGTCCGATACAAGGTACCCTGCATCAATCGTTCATCCGGTCTTGCATGGCTTTTCACTCCGTCTCTCCTCTCACGTCTAAAAAAAAAATAATTCAATGGTAGACGTGGGCGTGTGCGGACGCTCCGACGCTAGCATGCTGGGTATACCAGCCGTGCCGTCATGCTTTGAAACGAAACCATGTTTTTGTGGGGGGGGGGGGGGGGTTACTTTATGGGCTGAAGCACTCGCTCCTAAAAGCAACGACCGTGGCCAAACTATACTTGGTCTATGCCTGCCAGTCACCATAATCGCGCGACATCGGAAGTTGCCGTACCCACGTCACTGCAGTTATGGCACTTTCTAAACTAAAACGTAAGGACTGCCGCATCTTCATCAACAATCCTGTTCTTGTTTAATACGATACTACAAACATCCCTTTATCTCAAAGACTGCTGTGTCGAAGTATCGATTACCTAGGTTTCTCTCGGTGGGCTTTCTTTCGAGACATACTCCGGTATGTGAAAAATCGGCTGCGAAAGATGTTGGTGAAGAGAAATGAGCTGAAGCGAAGAAGGCAATGTCCACATGCTGAACCTGCACAGCGTGCTTATTTGTCTCGAGTTCAGTCGTTGCACAAAGCGCTCCAAGAACTTTTTGATCCTGGCTCGCGATGTCTTGCATCGATGCGCTCAGGTTCTTTTTCTTTCTGTGTTTAGCTTGCTCGTCGCCTGCAGTACTGGCAAGCACGTGCCGCTGGACTGTATTTTTTTTTTTTTGTCGTATGTTGGACAGCTACATTTTGTATATAAATTTTGGGAATAGACCAATCTCACTAAGCGCTCGGCGCATGCGTGACGCCGCCATAGCTTTTGTTCTCAGGAAGCAGACGGCCGTGTATGCGAGGGCTCGTTCCTTCTCGTGCTTTACACGCGCAGAGCTCCAGCGAGGTTGTCGCTCGTGCGAAAAGACTAAAGTTCCCTCGATGCATTGCGGCAGCGGTGGCGTAGTTAAACTGGCTGGTGAGATCGGTCTAGCGGAGTGGCATGGTTTCGATCGAACAGCCATCTCAGCCCGCGCAACAATTTCGCATTGCACGGCAGTAGTTACGTGTTTCAACAGTTGGAGACTGCTTCCATTTATTATATTACTAGTCAACCTAATGATGTGATATTTACTACTAAGCTGGTTATTTTCAAATAAATTTTAATATGTGCAGTTTGGTCCGATATATTTGTATCATTTAACTGAAGCATTGCAAATGTGTCATGTCATTGGCATTTCAGTTACATGTTGAAAGACTCCCAGGTTGTCTATCTTGACAATAATTAGTTGATTGTGGCGAGCAATGTGTCCTTCGTTTGTACACCACTTGAAATGAATATCTTTTTTTCTTCTAAGAATATCTGCTCCAAAAGCAACTTTCGCTGCTCCGAAACACTCTTTTAGCTGCTCCAAAAGCCAGTTTTGCTGCTCCAAAACTCTGTTTTGGCTGCTCCAGAAGGTGCTCCAAAACAGCTTTGGCCAATCACATCACTGAGAATAGCTAAAATAGCGATTCCATGACTCTAATTTATCAAAGAAAATCGTCTATCTACGTTTAATAAATGTAAATTGAAGAACATTTTATATTGCCAGAAGAAATGCTGACATGACTTGAAAACCGCCAAATATCCCGCCAACTGCAAAACAGAAATTTCTCCCCTGAGACAAATCAGAAAAAACACAAAATTTAGCGGCAAAACCGCTAAATTGGCAACACTGTCAGGGAGACTCTCTCCTTCTCTTTCTTAGATTGGCTACAAATGTTCTTACAGGCCATGTGGATTGGCTTTAGAGTGAGTTTGATAACGGAAAAAGCCAAAGTTGCAGTGACAACCTGTCACTGCGACTTTGGAGTTGTTCATCCCAAGGATCAAATTAGGGCGTCTATGGGGACCTTGTTGCTACTTTTTTCAGGGTCCAGTAACTTTGGATTAGACGTTGTGCACCTGGAAAATGACGTGCAAGGTTGCTCGTGTGCTCAATTCTAAAGTCCCGACCGGGTAACGGATTGTTTGTGTAGTTCATCTGCCTCATTGCTGTCACGACTGCGATGACCAGAGGGTCATTTTCAGAGCATGTTGTTCCCCTTCCAGGTGCTGGGATCTGCAGCTGCCAAGGGATCGAAGAGAGCGCCAAGGCTGAAGCTGATGAAGTCAGCACCTTACAACAGCTGCTGCAAGAAGAAAAGTGAAAGGGCGTCCTCCGGCGAGGGGACAGGTACTCTGCACAGTCCTAGTCTGAAGTATTATTTACACACAATTAACTACCTGAGCTTTCAAAGGGAATATGTAGTTGAACATTTCAAAAAGGTTTAAAGAATAAGAAGGAGTAATGGCTTGTTTTATACTCCGTTTTACCTTAAGATATAGATCAGAGGAGGTTATTATAACTGCAAGCTGTTTGCTCAAGGTTATGTCTCAGCTACACAAATTATTTCACAGCAGGAGCAACTGCCAAAGCTATGAGCCCAGGAGTCTTGCCTCTGCTGCAATACACCTCATACCATTTAGGTGGGCGTCCTGAAGCGACGCCTACGTGAATGAGTAAAAGCTTAGGTCCTTTACCTGAAGCGACGCCTACGAGATGGGGTAAAGCTTAGGTCCTTTACCTAAAGCTACCTGTAGTAAAATGTTTGATAGTTAAGGGGCTAACAGTAGATGATTATTCTATTAGAGATTCTCCTGCTAAAGCATGGGGCAAATGGGTGGCACAGTTACTATAGCTATCTTTGCAGAATCCATTTTTTTTTTAAATGACTGTGTTTTTTTAAGATGTGCTTGCAAAGCTCCCCCTGTAGTCGGTGACAGTTTAAGAGTTCAGGAGAAGCTTGTCCCACCCCCACTTTAGCAGAGCGAATGCCGGAGAGGAGGCAACCACCTCTCCAGCATTTTCTCTGCTAAAGTGGAAAGAGTTGGGAGGAGCTTTCCCTGAACTCATAACCTACCACCGACTATAGACGTTTGTCCATTTCGCTTGCGTGCTCATGGGTGTGCGAAGATGTTTACTTTAAAAGCCGGATGGCAGCAGAATCGTTGAGGAACAGCCCAGGGGCAGGTTGTTCCTTTTCGTGAAATATCACATTTAACACATAATTATTAACATATTGGCACAGTTGTGAGTCAATACCCCTCCCACATGGCATGTGAGCAAGGCCAAGTAAAGGATATTATACTTTAGGGTGCATTCAATGGTAAACATTTATCAATTGCTGGATGATTTGTCCTCACTGGTGGTGCTGCTGTTCTTGTTGTGATCGCTGCTGCGGTCCCAGAGCACGTCGTCGTCCCACGAAATCCCGCACTTTGGGAACGACCGCATCGCTACTGAACTAGTAAATCTGAAAAGCATCCAGATTTTAGCCTGCAGAAGCCTCTTTGTTTTCCCTGACATTTAAAGATCTTGTGCTGTTCGCTACCAGCTCCGACACATCAAGTTTGCGTCCAGTAGCACAGCTGTTGGTTTTTCGTGCATGGAGAACGACAGCCTTCTTAACACCTTAACCATTTAAGTGCCGGGTTTCTTTCGGCCCGGCGGTCTCCCCGTGCCGAATTTTTTTTTTCACTGCACAAACAAATTTATTTTGGCCGTGATAACAGGTTTACATGCTTCACTGTGTATGTTTATTTAAAGAATATGTTTCTTTTAATCTTTAATCTTTTAAACTCCGAAAGACGACGAGCCAAACTGTGAATAATGGGAGCGATGTCACCTGTAGTTCACTTGTAGCCAGTGTCGTCGAGTTTTTTTTTTCTTTTTAAGCCAGTGGCATTGAGTCGTCGTCACTTTCGTCACTCTCCAAAATACACTAGGTTTCACTGTCATCAGAATCTGAATTCATTAGAAGTTCCTGTACTTCAGCATCCGTCAAGGAGCGCCAAGTCAAAGCACGTGCGTTCACCATTGGAAAATAATGTTCACGCGGGAACGCATACGGAAGTCACCTTTACAAAATATCTCAACCTACCATCAAGAGGCGAAACCACCACTAAAAACATTGATTCAATTGGTTGTCCACAGATGGCGCTTCCTGTTCAGAAGAATATTGTCAGCCCAAGTTTAGCCAGGAGAGGCAGGGAGTAAATTGAAAACTCGAGACGAGTATACTCGGGTGCGGCAGGGAGTGTGCAGGGAAGCGCGCCTGAGTATACTCGGGTGCGGCACTCAAAGGGTTAAGTACCTTGGACGAGCTGAGCTCGTCGGGTACACTTTCTGGCTAAAAATGCCATGGACAAGCTCAGTTCGTCCTGTGGTTTTTTCGTTAGCCCTCAATTTCACAGACGAGCTAGGCTCGTCCGAGTAGTTTTGCGGCGCTGATCATAGATGCAGTGATGTGATTGCTGCGCCGATTGCGCCAAACTGCGCCAAGGGATAACCCTGCTACATCCTGCTACATTTCGCCAAAATATGGCTAATCTGCGCCAAGCCTGCACCAAAGGACCAATTTTGGTCGCCTTTGAAAACCGAAACTAAACTGAGAACTGTGATTGAGCATGCATTGGCTAGGTGTCACAAGACGCCGCCCGACACAAAGTACCCTGCATGAGTCGTCTATTCGGTCTTGCATTATTTTTCCCGCCGTCTCGCGTTTCGCGCTCTCGTCGTCTCGGGAATCTCGTCTCGCGTCTTTCTTTCTTTTTTCTTTTTTAATTTTTTTGGCGATAGACGCGGGCGTGTGTGGATGCTCCGACGTTAGTGGGCCGGGTGCCAACATGCCGTCATGCTGTGACACAAAAGCACGTTTTTGCGCGGCGAAAGTTACTTTCTGAGCTGAAGCGCTCGCGTGACCACACGTCCTTACGTCGCTGAAGATATGGCGCTTTCTAAACTGAAACGCATCGGCATTCCGGCTCTTGTTTAAATCATACGCTGCTATAAAAGTCCCTCTTTAACTCAATGACTGCTTGGCAAAGTTTTGATTACCTAAGTTTCTTTCGGTGGGCTTTCTTTCGAGAGGGACCCCGGTACGTGAAAAATCTGCCGCGAAAGAAAGTTGATGACGAGAAGTGAGCTAAAGCAAAGAAGGCAATGTCTGCATGCTGAACCCGCACAGCGCGCTTGTTTGTTTCGAGTTCAGTCGTTGCACAAAGCGCTCCAATAACTTTTTGACCCTGATTCGCAATGTCTTGCATCAATACGCTCAGGTTCTTTTTTTCTGTGTGTTTAGCCTGTACCTCGCCTGCCGGCGTGGCAAGCTTGCGCCGCTGGACTGTTTATTTTCGTATGCTGGACAGTTACATTTTGCATACTATTTTGGGAACCAGTTGGCGACGGAGCGGAGTGGCATGGTTTCGGTTTCGGTCGAACGGTCGTTGTCTCCGCTCGCGGGACGAAGCACGTGCAAATGCAAGCCTGCCGAAGTTGCCCTTACGTGCATGTGAACACTGCACGAGAGGCACCAGCCGGGACGCTTGCAATTCATTGTTTTACGTTTGCATACTTTTTATAAAAATCTGCCACCGCGGGAACCAGTGAAACAATAGCAAGTGTTTTTTTCGTTTTTTTTTTCGGAATTGCTTGGCAACGTTTACACTTTTGGAGCATAATGCTCCAAAAGTAACTTTTGCTGCTCCAAAACACTGTTTTGGCTGCTCCAAAAGCCACGTTTGCTGCTCCAAAACACTGTTTTGGCTGCTCCAAAAGGTGCTCCAAAATGGCTTAGGTCAATCACATCACTGTAGATGGCAGCACTCGTTTTAGTTGGCAAATATTTTTTTTTGCCTCCGCTGAATTTTGCGTAATAAACTTTTCAAATTTTATGTGTAATACTAGAAGAATAACAATTCAAAATAAAAAAAAAATATATTATTTCTAGGTTACTTTTGGAAAAAAAAAGTTTGGCACTTAAGGGGTTAAACAATAGCTGTAAACGATTGCCAAACACCTTAGGCATTTGGACCATTTATTTCAATACCAGTGATGTGATTGCTGTGCCAATTGCGCGAAACTGCACCAAGGTGCTAACCCTGCTACATCCTGCTACATTTTGCCAAAATATGGGTAATCTGCGCCAAGCCTGAGCCAAAAAAACAATTTCGGTCGCCTCTCAAAACTGAAACTTAACTGAGCAATGTAATTGAGCATGCATGCGTGTGTTATGTGGCGCAAGCGGCCGACCGACACAAAGTACCCTGCGTCAATTGTTCATCTGGTCCTGCATGTTTTCCCGCCATCTGGCGCTTCGCGCTCTCGTCGTCTCGTGAGTCTCGTCTCGCGTTTTTTTTTTTTTTTTTAAATATATTTTCAACGATAGACTTGGGTGTGTGCAGAGGCTTCGATGCTATAGCGTACCGGGTACCAGCCATGCCGTCGTGCTGTGAAATGAAACCGCGCTTTTGCACAGAGGGAGTCACTTTGTGAACTGAAGCACTTGCTCCTGGAAGCAACAGCCGTGGGAAAACTATGTTTGGTCCCTGCCTTCCAGTCACCGTGGTCGCGCGACGTCGGGTGTTGCCATCCCCACGTCGCTGCAGATATGGCGCTTTCTAAAATGAAAATGAGTACCACCGCATGTTCACGCATGTTCATCAACATTCCTGTTCTTGCTTAAGTCATACGTTACTAGAAAAATCCCTTTTCAACTGAAAGACTGCTGTGTCGAAGTATTGATTACCTAGGTTTCTCTCGTTGGGCTTACTTTCAAGAGGGACCCCGGTACGTGAAAAATCTGCCGCGATAAGAAAGCTGGTGAAGAGAACTGAGCTAAAGCAAAGAAAGCATTGTCTGCGCTGAACCCGCACAGCGCGCTTGTTTGTCTCGAGTTCAGTTGTTGCACAAAGTCCTCCAAGAACTTTTTGACCCTTGCTTGCGATGTCTTGCATCGATGCGCTCAGGTTCTTTTTTGCTTTTCTTTTATGTGTTTAGCTTGTACCTTGTTTGCCTGCCTGACAAGAACGCGCCGCTGGGCTGTTTTTCATCGTATGCTCGACAGTTATATTTTGCATTCGATTTTGGGAATTAGTTGGCGACGGAGCGGAGTGACATGGTTTCGGTTTCGATCGAACAGCCGTTGTCTCCGTTCGCGCGACGAAGCACGCGCAACTGCAAGCCTGCTGAAGTTGCCCTCACGTGTTTGCAAACTTGATTGCACGACAGAGGCACCAGTCGGAACACTTGCAATCCATTGTTTCACGTTTGCTTACCTTTGACGGAAATCTGGTACGTAGGGAACCAGTAAAACGGTGGCAAGCGGTTTTTCGGAATTGCTCGGCAACGCCTACGGCACTGTACACTTGTGAAATGTCTCAGCAGTAAAAACACAAGCAGCGAGTTACGTCACAACACGTCACATTTGAACAGTACACAAGTCACAACACAAAGTGCCCTTCATTTGTACAGCACTTAAAACAAATATTTTCATTTTTCTAAGAATATCTGCTCCAAAAGCCACTTTTGCTGCTCTGAAACACTGTCTTGGCTGCTCCAAAAGCCACTTTTACTGCTCCAAAACACTGTTTTCTCTGCTCCAAAGGCCACATTTGCTGCTCCGAAAACTGTTTTGGCTGCTCCGAGAGGTGCTCCAAAATGACTTGGGCCAATCACATCACTGCAATACAGAAAACATGGCTGGCAGTCGTGTAGCCAAGTATATTTTTTTTTCACTTGTCCAACAGACAAATTGTGGTGTCGGAGATGCCTTGGCTGTGAGAATTGGGTCACTTCCGCTGCACTGTGAATTATATCATAAGGTTCGTTGCATAAATTTGTTGCGTGCATTGACAGCATACCTCAGCAAACCTCACTCATGAGGGCCCTCACTCACCCTCACTCACCCTCATCCTCACAGGTGAGGTGAGGGTGAGTGAGTTTCTGAACCAGGAAAATTTATGAGTGTGAGGGTGAGTGAGGGCCGTGAGGGCCGTGAGGGCCGTGAGGGCCGTGAGGGCCGTGAGGGCAGTGAGGGGTATGAGGGCCATGAGTCCGTGAGGGGCATGAGGGCGGTGAGTGGCGTGAGGGCCATGAGCGCGTGAGTGGTGTGAGGGTGGTGAGTGCGTGAGGGGTGTGAGGGCCATGAGTGCGTGAGAGCAGTGAGTGGCACGAGAGGCGTGAGGGCTGTGAGGGCGGCGAGTGCTTGAGGTGGTGTGAGGGCCATGAGTGCGTGAGGGCGGTGAGTGCGTGAGGCCCCCTTCAGATCGAGCATCTTTCTCAGCAATTTTGGTGTTAATGACGGGTTGTTCTCTAGCTTTCCCTAGATCGACACAATTGCTGAGATCGGGTTTGGCTCGAAATAAGCAAGCAACTCGGAGCAATTCGAATACGTTTGAAGCGGCTGCATCCAATCAGGGACGCAAAATTTTCACGTGATACCTCGTGCCAGTGATGATGACACCGAAAGACTTGGTTCTGGTTTGAAATCGATCGGTTTTTGGAAATAAACTGTTTCAGAAAGGTGCATTAGTATTGTTAATGGGCGGTGAGTGGCGTGAGGTTGGTGACGCCGGTGAGGGCGGTGAGTGGCGTGAGGGCCGTGAGGGCCGTGAGGGCGGTGAGTGGCATGAGGGCCGTGAGGGCGGTGAGTGGCGTGAGGGCCGTGAGGGCCGTGAGTGGCGTGAGGGCTATGAGGGCGTGAGGGCCGTGAGGGCGGTGAGTGGCGTGAGGGCGGTGAGTTTCGTGAGGGCTATGGATGAGTGAGGGGCGTGAGGGCTGCGAGGGCCGTGAGAGCGGTGAGTGCGTGAGGGCCGCGAGGTTCAGTGAGGGTGAGTGAAGGGCTGATGGTGAGTGTGACTGTGAGGGTTAGTGAGGGGCTCAAGGTGAGTGTAGCTGTGAGGGTGAGGGTGAGTGAGGGGCTTAGGTGAGTGTGGCTGTGAAAGTGAGGGTGAGTGAGGGCGACCTAAAATGCCGACCTCTGATTGACAGCCACGGTTACCGGCGTCTGTGCCGCCACTGCCGCCAGACACCGCAAATATAAACTCATCTCTAGCTTATTCCACCACGTTTTTTTTCAGAAATATTTTAGAGTTCATTACTTGCAAGTATTCTGTTTATTATAATTATTTTTCGAAACAGAATCATACCTGTGAGACATTTACTTTGAATTCAAGCGATCTGAGGCTACTCTTCATTGCTGGGAACAGAGGTTGGCAAGCTGTGTCTAGCATAACTCATCCTTTAGTGGAAAGGACCTTTTTGTGTTATCCAAAAACAATCTCAATCTTTCGCTTCAGGGACCTGTGCTATGGGTATGTTAAGGCTGCCATGTGAGTCACTGGTGCTACATAGTATGGATAATCTTGTGGACTACTGAAATGGTGGCATCTGACGGCCTGGGATATTTTCGATGGCGTCGTCACATCGGCACAGAAAGCTGCTGAATCCTGTCCACTTTTTCGGCATGCATGATTGAACTATTGTCATCTGTTTCTTTTTGGAACACAACCATCCAGGAACTGCAGCTGCTGTACCAAGCAAGGTGGAGAATCCTTTGATCAAGGCCTACCTCAAGGACAGCCGGCGTAAGAGGGACTTCCTTGGTGTGGTGGAAAGGACAAAGCGCAACCCGGGACAGCGTGCCAATAAGTCAAGCTCTTTGCACGACACATGCGACGCCGCCAAAGACTTCGTTGACACCACAAAGCATGCTGCGTCACGGGCAAAGCCCACGCCCAAACCGGAAAGTACGGCGCCGAGCGAAGAGGAGACGAAGCAACGAGAAAAGGCCAACTATTTTCTCAACCTGAGAATGTGAGTGAATGTGGCACGTTGGTCGCTCTTCCGCTCGTCTGCAGTGCGCACGAAAGTAGCAAGCAGACAAGTGGGGCTGCTCATGCGGCTCGTGTGGCATGCAATGGGGACCGTGCTGCAAGGATGCTTTAAAAGTTGCGTCGCTTTGTCAGAACATTTTTTTGCAACTTATAGTCTTTTAGTGTGACACAGTCCGAGCAATAAATAATCACTGACGAAATGAAAACAGCAGGGAGGAACTCCAGCTGTCCCTCCCCCAGCACAAGTTTCTTACCTTCTATGATGCTTCGGCGTCCAGCACACTTTCGAGTGATCGCGCTCAGCCAAAGCATGGTGGAAGGCAAAGAGCAGGTGCTGGAGTCCGGGTGTTCGAGAAACACACCCTGTCGTCCTCGTTCTGTCAGTGACAATGAGTTCGTCTGCTTGCGCAGGGATTGCAGTGACGTCAGCGAGGTGCCCGCAATATGACGGAGGCTTATTGCGGAAAAGGCGCCGTGTAACCGAGCTTTCGGTTGCACGTCAAAAGATCCTCAGGTGGTCCAAATTAATCCTCAGTCCTCCGCTGGGGCGTGCCAGATGCCTGTCGTAGGTTTGGCACGTAAAACCCCCAAATTTGACTTTTTTGCAGTGACGTCAGAAGGCCGAGCTCTGATTGGCTCCGATTGTAAGGGTAGTGGGTAGATCTCAATGCTAGATGCCTTTAAGTCTACCCACTATTCTTGCGATCAGAGTCAATTGGAGCTCGGCGTTCTGCCGTGACCGCAACCCCTGCGCAAGAAGCGGACAAACTTGCGCTTCGCATAGGTGTCCGCTAATTTTGGACGTTCTGGGCCGCTTTTTCTTTTTTTTTTTAGACATTTTGGTAAATCACATGCCACAAAAATGCATTTTTACCGAAAAGCTTATTTATTTGCAATATTTTTTTCGTCATGAGGCTGTTTTTACAAAGTTGTGGTTCAGCACGCATGGAGAAGAGGTACGTTGTAGGTGTGCCTCTGGTCCGTGCACCGTCTAGCTGATGCGAGGCAGACAAAATCATTCTTATTTGACATCTCTGTGACCGTAACCTAGATGTTTGAGTGCATTTACAAGATTGTCCACGCTCTGGCTGTAGAGTTTCTTTTGATCGAAATCTTTCAAACCCTAGTTTGCCATAGATTATTGCATGGGCAAAGCCTTGGCTGATTTGTGAGGGATTATTACATCGTCCACTGTCAATCATTTATCCGACCAGTGGCGTACCAACCTGTTTTTGAGTGGGGGGGCAAACCCGACCCTCTTCCCCCCCCCCCCCCCCCCCCCCCCCTTAATCGAAAATTCGGCGCAACTTTTGTCGAAGTTTTCTAAAGATGTGGCAATGATTCGGCAAAATTACAACGTTACCAGACTTAACATTGATATTTTGTTTTTTTCTCACGAAAAAAAATTTTGCTTCTTCTTCTTAAAATAAATACAACTTGTAGTGCCTATTGAAACAGTTAGGATTAAATAAGGTGATATTCTACAAGATAATTGTATCGATGTCGCTTTTGTGTGTTTACTGGCAATTTTAGTGTTTGCTTGCAGAAAGTGGCGTGACAGCGAGGTTGGGTAGTAGCTGGAGCAGTCACGAATCACACTATGAGAGTTTTGATTTTGAGGCTTCATCAGCGCACGCCTGCAAGTGTGTTTACATTGTTAAAATAAAGACAATCACTGCGTTCTTACTTTCTCTGGGAGTCACCGTTTCGTGCGCGAAAACGGATGCAACGGTTGTTTAGCCTTCACCAGAAGAGATAACAATACTGTAAATATGCATGTTTTTCGATTTGAGTCACTTGACGTCAGCTTTGCATGAAAGTGCGCGTTCTATATTCGCAACGTGCCGTTTTTAACCTTTAAAATTCCGGTTTCTGGTGTTAGGACACACACGGACGTTTAGGAAGATGGGGAGAGTTAGGAATGTCGGATGTGCAACGTCGAGCATGATAGTTCTGTGTTTAACGAATACTTTTCATCAGTGTTTACTAACGAGTGCTTGGACTTCGTCCCCACTCTCCCTGAAGAGCTTTACGAGCGCATGCATCCTATTAACGTTAACTCCGCTGGTATTAAAACATTGATTGATAAACTAAAACATACTTCGTCCGCTGGAACCGATAACATCAACCCTAAAATTTAAAAGAAACACCCGTGTTATTTCTAGTGAGTATTTGAAACTCATCTTCATTCAGTCCTCACCTCAAAGCTGCCTTCCATCTGACCAAAAGGTGGGAAGGGTAATTCCCAGTCTTTAAACAGGGCAGCCGCTCTTCCGCATCTAATTATCGCCCTAATTCATTGACTTCAATTTCTTGCAAACTACTTGAGCATATCCTCTACTCCAATATCTTGAGGCACCTATCATCCCACTTCTTTTCTTTAAACAGCAGCACGGTTTTCAAAAGGTACTTTCCTGCGAAACGCAACTCTGCGACTTCATCCATGACTTGCACACTAACCTTGAATGTCACGTCCAAACTGACGCAGTTTTTTTTTTTTTTTTTCCAAAGCGTTCGGCTGTGTCCTTCATCAACGCCTTCTTTCTAAGCTATCAACTTTTTGCCTCGACCAAATAACCGTTTGCATAGATTCGTGACTTTCTTTTTTCCCGTGTACAGGTCACGTCCATGATGATCATGAATCTTCCTTAATAAATGTATCTCCTGGTGTTCCCCTGGGGTTCGTACTTGGGCCCTTACTCTTTTTAATATTTATTAATGACATTCCCATTGGGATTTCTTAAAAAAAACGCTTTTTCGCCGACGACTGCGTCATCCATAACAAAGTAACTTGTGTGCAAAATAATAACCAGCTTCAGGAAGATCTAGATAAAATTAACAATTGGTGCAAAGAGTGGATTATGTCACCAAACAAGTATAAACGCAAACTAATCCACTTCACCAAGAAAAAAACCACTCTGTCATTTAATTACTTCTTGGACTCCGATCTGATTGAGACCGCTACTGTGTATAAATACCTTGGTGTAAGACTAACATCTGACCTTCCCTGGAATAACCACATTGAAGTCATTACCGCCGATTCATCTGGAACTCTTGGACTAAGCAGACGTAACTTAAAAAATCGCTCCACCCTTTGTCCCTAAGCTAACCTTTAACACGTACGTCAGACCAAAAATAGAATATGCTTCAACCATCTGGAATACCCATCGACTGTACCTCATCAATACGCTGTAGAGGCAGTTCAGAACAGAGCTGCTCGCTTCATTTCATCCACTTATGACTTTTCTTTCAGTGTCTCGGCGCTAAAAACTGAACTAACCATGTCCTCTATGCAGCTTCGCAGGAAAGTCTCTCAGCTGTGCCTTATTCACAAAATCTACTACCACATTCCCGACCTCAAAACCACTTTGTTATTACCCCTCGACCGAACATCTTCTCGCCTCAACAACGTCTGCACCATCAAACACACTTCTGGCTCTACGAACGCTTTCAATTGGTCATTCCTTTCTCAAGCCATCAGCCACTGGAACAGTCCCCCATCCTCCATTGTCACCATCTTGGACCCTGCTGATTTCTCCTCTGCAGAAGAACTACAGCTTTCTTGGCCCATGTGATGGTGTGCGGGGCTAGGCAGATCAGTGAAAACACTTACGTAGAGTGCTTGCCAGGCCAGACTTGTACGTAGTTCAACTACTTTACTCAAGTTACTGTAGTTTAACTACTTTTCTGGGTAGTTTAGTACCTTTTAATTACATTTCTATTCTAGTAATCAGTAGTTTACTTTAACTACTTTTCCGAGTGACTTCCACTCAAATTACAAATTACTTTCTAATTTTAGTGGTTGCTTTGCCTATCAACAGAGAACAGAGGTCGGAAGGTCAGCTGACATTTGCAGAGGGGGAAGCATGCGGAGTAGAAAAGGGGGGGATGGGAAGGAAGAAAGTGATTTAGATAGCCCAAAAACCCCAAAATTTTAACGAGCCCCCCCACTGCAACAACACTGCTACGAGGCGCGGGGAGCGAACAGACACGACGCAAGAGAGGCCGAGTAACTGTGGGATTAGCTCCGAATAGTGGCGTTTCTTTGTATTCCGAAGCTCAAGGAGACTTGACGCATTTGAAGAAAGGGCTTGTCCCCGCTTCTCTCCAATGTAGGAATTCTTGCCCACTACAGGAGGTGCGCACACTGCTCCTTTTACGGTGCAGGCGATAGAACCCCTAACAACGACGCTCACGCCGGATGGGCTGCTCGTGTATCACTCGAAGCGCGTTAACCCACCCCCGCGCCTGCGTTCACGCCGCTTCGCGGTGACGGTGTGCGGCTGCTAATTACAAATCTATTAACCCACCTAGCCCCCCCACCCCCCGTACACGCCGCTTTGCGGCGTCCGGTCGGCAACCCAAGCCCCGCTGCCCCCCATGCACTTCCGTAAATAGAGTCGATACGATTTAGTTTAGCGATGTTTCGTCAACAACATTCGTTTTTTTAGTGTTAATGGTAAAAAAGAAATGTAAATATCGCCAAATGCCTCGACAAAACAAAATGTTCGAGAAAAAAAATAAAAAGAAGTAAGCCGGCCCACACCATAAATAGAACCCGGGTCTGACACGTATGAGGCAGACATCTCACCACTAAGTTACGCTACCCCTTCGGAAACTCGCATTGCATCCGCTGCCTATGTTGACGGCGGCAGCGCCTATCTCCAAGCAAGCAAGCAAAACTTTATTTTGTGTAAGGGCCTACGTCCTGGTCTGGACGGCCCGTCCGGCCCATGTCTCGCGGATGGATTCCGTAAGGTTACCGTGTAGCCTTGTTCGTGGAGCAAGGCTTTACGAACCAGCCAATCCGGCAGCGTGAGCACCGTTGCTAGGGTTTGTATCGCCTGCGCGTTAAAAATATGCCCGCGCGGGTCGGGGGGCAGTGCCCTTGGTATTCCTTGGGCGCCGCCGGCCTGTGTCTGCTCTGTCCAGTGGCGGCCGTTTCAGGGGGGGCAAAACGCATGCCTTGCCCCCCCACTCTGAGAACTGGGGGGGGCAAGTGCCCCCCTTGCCCCCCCGGTTGGTACGCCCATGCTTTTCAAACCCTAGTTTGCCATAGATTATTGCATGGGCAAAGCCTTGGCTGATTTGTGAGGGATTATTACATCGTCCACTGTCAATCATTTATCCGACAGAATCAGTTCATGTGCACTATCCATATCGTAATCAATCATGGTTGCAGATAACCATCCGGCACCTTTTTTAGGGTTGACACTCATGCGTCCTTCCTTGAACTTCTTAATATATTCAGACGCACTTCTTTGCGAGAAAATCCGTCCTTCATTCTGTGCACAAAGGCTTGGGTAAATACCGAAACTAGACACTTTGTCGAACCCCAAAAACTATAGGCTACCGCTCATGTGCAAATCACATCTGGGGTAGCCTTTGTTGATTGCACCTCATTCACAACTACGCTGACTGTACACATTCAAACCTGTACAGCAATGGCTGGAGAGGCAGCAACCACATACGATAAGCGCCGATATGACAGTGCGGCCAGCAGAAGTTTGAGATAACCGGTATGCGGATAATGTTTTAGTCACCCTCGTAAAAGCGTTTTTAGGCCAACACGCTGAGTAGACAAAGTTCCTCCTAATAAACGCCAACGGACACCGGATAAGATGATCCTTCTAGCTCTGATATTTTGATCACTCAAAGAATAACGGCACAGATACTTTATTTGGAAAATCTGCGCTACTGTAAACGAAACAAGAAAAAAAAACAAAAACAGAAGTACAAACAAGTCAGATACGAAGCCTATGCCGAAAAAAACATGGAACTTCACCTTCTGTACATCAGGATTACGTGATCTTATTATAGTACACACACATGTACCTTTCCAGGTTCTCCTCGTTGATCTCCACTCTTTCTTTTTTGTTAATATGACCCTGAGCTTCGAGAATGCTCTCTCAACGCTAACACTGGACACTGGCAGGCTGAGGAGATGAAGCGCTGCCCGAGCCAAAATCGGCCAATCAACCAATTGTGACCGCCAAGAGGGACACGGTGCAATGTTTTGAAGCACAACAGAACACACAGAACTTGCATCAAATCAGTCTTCCTTACAACAAGTTTGAAAACACGCTCGTACGTGGGAAAGTCATGGGGTATTTCGGACTTCACATTCCAATCAATAATGCATGCATTAGAAAAAAACAAAGCAACGATGGCATCCGTGTATTCCATACATTTGGACACGTTTCGATAGACACTGTCGTTTCACCTTTTCGCCACGGCTCTGCGGTACGACTTGAAGGTTAAAGTTACCTTTTCTGGTTAAAACTGAATTTCAGAAAATGGATTCGACATACTTTTATCGGTTTTATCGGTTTAAACCGAAAACACCAAACTCTAGTTATGCCCGACTATTTGAGCTCGCTACCCGAGCATGAATGGCAGCGGTATCGAGACAAACTGTGCGTGGATGGCGCTGCCTTCGACAATCCGTACGCTGTAAACAAGGCCTGCTGGAGTCCCAACATGAAGTTTCTGCCACCGACGTCGATGGCTCACATCGTCGTCTATTTAGTTTTTTCGCCAAGCCAGCTTATGGCCAGCACGGTGCGGGCGTACAAGTCTCTTGAGGCCTACGATCATTTCGAGCTGGCTTCCGCACTGCTGGCGGGATCAGCGTCTGCGAAAGTGTAATAATGTGAAAGCATTAACTGTCTCATGGGAGCGAGCCGAAGTCATCAGCTTTGAAACCATGCAAAACGGCACCTTAATGAAACCACACGCAAAGCTAGGCAATGGCACCTTTTATATTTCGGTCCGATTGCTGGCGCTGTTGGGTTATCACTGATCACCGCGTTCGCTCATCTCTTATCGGTTGTTTGGCACGTGGCAATATATACGGCGCATGGTATAAACCAGGGGGTTCGTTCTGCTGGGAACTAGGGTGCTGTCTGTTCACCCCTCGTGCTGCAAGGCACACGACAGTTTGAACGATCGATCACCCGATGGCACTGCGTGTCTGCCAGGCAGCGGCTCCACCGTTCCACGCCCAAGGTCGGCGCGTTGTACGCCGCAGATTAAAGAAGGGAACGAAGAGTGGCATGCGTGCTTTCGCATTAACAACTCGTAAGAAGTGCTTCGATATATCTCAAGCCTTTTTATTAATTGACTAAATACACACAGCATCCTTCAACTCAAGGTATGACATTTTTCTTACCCTCATGACCACAAGGCACGACAAGCAATAATGCTTCCTCCATTTTGCCGCCGATATATTTCCGTTTGGTAGCACTGGCGTAGCGATTTCCATGCGCATAAGTAAGGCGCGGCACGGAGATTGAAATGGAAGCCACACTTGCCTTCAAGAAAGTGCATGCTGCACAAACGGCCGGCCTCGCGAGGTGACCATTCTTTTCGATCCACGGATATTATCTAAGTTCTGCGCCTAGTCCGAGAACTTGTGGAACCTCACTCCGCTACTTTTTCTGTACCTTTTGGTGCAATTAACGGCTACACAGCTTTGCGGCATGCTGAAGTGCTATGAGGCCCATGCAAAATGTGCGCCCTTCTCCCCATACCACTCGGCTCCGGCGCGATCGCAGCGTCACCGCAGCTCCTTGACGTCAAGCCCGCGTGTCGGTCTATATCTTGTGAGGATTATCCATGCGGTTTAGCAAAATGACCTTTTCAGCATGCAGTATCTCTTTAAAGCTTCCTTTCACCAGAGCTGCCTCCTATTGAATACTGATCCAGTGCCCACCCATACCTTCGAGATATTCGGGAAAAAAAAAAAAAAAGGGCATGGGTACTTGTTAGGTTTGAGAGCAGAGAAGCAGAACGGGTATGTGGAAGAGTGATCCTTTGTTTGGTTCGATGGAACAGAAGGGGAGCATCGTGGGAGCCTGGCAAACCCTGATTTTTAAAGCAGTCTCATCCCTCTCGTCAAGCCTCCATTGCTCGGCGCTTCTGCATTATACTTTACCGCTTCACACCGGTGCACATGTGTAAAGCTTCACTGCCTTGAACTGGCCTCTTGAGACTTGGCCGATGCAGAAGAGCGCCTCAGTTAGCTCGGCGGACTCGGGCATCGGTTTGGACGGTTGCTTGATAGGTCTGTTGTTTCTATTTGGGCCGTAGGTTTCTCCGGTCTTGATTGATAAGGAAAATCGGCGGGCGTTTCCCAGCATTTATTCGGATTTCAAATATCGGTGCACTTCGTTGATTTTTTTTGGAAGGACGCCGGAAAAGGTGATTACCAGTAGAAAATTTTAATGAAAAACCAAGAGTTCAATTCTAAGGGCGGAGGGTTTCGAGAAAAACACCCCTAGCTGGAACGAAAATTTCCAGAGATTTGAGCTTTTCTCTTTTAACTGATTTTGTACTTTTCACACCAACGGTTGTTTGCCGGGGTATTTCGCTTTTAACCGATTTTGTGTTTTTGACACCAACAAATGTTTATCCGTGGTTTTTTGGTTTGAAACTGGAAAATCTGCAGCCTACTTATATTTAAAACGTTTCAAAAGTGGGTGGGTGCTTATAGCAACATGTGCACACACTCAGTATTTTACGGTTGTTTGTTCACTAAAGCGCGAAACACATGTATGACGAAGCAGTCCGGTCCGACGTCCGATCAGGCAATACAACGGTTGGAGGCGAGGGTTTTGAACGCTCTCCGGTGCTACGAAAACCCTCGCCCCTCAAGGTCATTCCGGCAGTCCGCACGTCGGATCGGACGGTTTCCTTGTACATGTGTTTCTTGCTTAACACCTTTCCTGTTCAGGGCTTAGGATGGCAAACTAAAGAAGTGCTGTTCATGTTGGAGGCCTGGGGACAGTTTTCCAGAAATACACTGTGTTTAGGTTGACAAGTATGGCTGGTGTAAAGCTATATTTGATATCTTCGACAGCTGAATGCCTTGTAAACAGTGGAATCTGTCAGCTTGCATGTTCTGTTTCCAAGATGTGCAGGTTTTACAACATTGTGCAGCTTGACAATGCTTGCTTACCATAAATTTCACCACAATAGAATGTCTTCTGAAGCAGAATTCCAAGAGATCAGATAACACTGTTCTACGTAGCAGATATTCCTCTTGTCAGAAGGTAAAAAGACCGTTTTGAAGTCTTTGAGGATCATAAAGTTATTTTTCAAGGTTCTGCTGATCTAGGGGGGTTCATTTATTAGAGTTTTTATAAAGGACCTCTGCTACATTTGTCAGCAATCAAGTTTCAGGAGCAATGTGTGACCACATAGCACATCTGACCAGTGTCAGGTACCGCAGTTCTGATTGTTTTTCATCTTTCAGTTATTAGTGTTTGTTAAATAAGTTTTTAAGGAAGGGTTCTAAACAGCATGATTTCACATTTTTATTTGGTTAGCAAAACATTTGTTTTCTCCTCTCAGGTCAGGCTGGAAGCTGAATCCCGACGGCAAGTGGGTCAAGGATGAGAATGTCGAGTTCGACAGCGATGAAGATGAACCTCCAGAGTTTAAAGGGTGACATACAGAACTAGGTTTGTATCTTTAAATGCCCATTGAATGTTGTAACAGATGTTCTGCTGGAACTAAGGTGAATATGCGTGGCTGACAACATTGATAATGGGTCTCCTTTCCACGACTTTGGCCTTATAAAAAAATCTTAAAGAAAGCTGCACCCGCTTGTTTTTGTATTGATGTCTAGTATGTGGAGGTACTACCATTATATGCTCGACTCTAGTCTAAGGTCGTTCATCAACAGTGTAATATGTTCAGATTTAGTGGAGTTGTTTTGGAAGTTTTGCCTTTATCATAAGCAGGACGCCGGTAACAAACTTGGCGGGCAGAAAACAAAATATTGGTCCTGTTCCATCAACAACCACAGAGATGAAGCATAATGCAAGGTGCAAAAAACAACACACACAAGGAAGAAGACACACACATAGGTGCCTGTGTGTGCCTTCTTCCTTGTGTCCATTGCGTTTTGCATCTTGCACCATGCTTATTTGTTCACCAACTAGACCAATTACAAGTTCTACAACCACAGAGATAAATACTTCACAATTTCTCTTGGTATATAAAGTTGCGATCATGCTGTAATTGTTCTTGCTCCCCTCTATGTATACGATGAGACAGCCTATCTGAAAATAATGGTGTCTGACTTGGAATGCTAACATTATTATACCACTACACACACACACATAATCTCTCGCTTGCGACATTTCTGTGCGGGGGTGCAAGCGTCGTCGTTAGGGTATACAGTGTTTGTAAATGACTACTGCAGGGCAAGCAAAAGGTACGGACATATTTTAGCAGCTTGTTTACCTGGTGTCTTGTTAGAGAATGTTCCATTCCTCTATTCCACTCCGAGTTAAAATAAAATCCCATGTTTTTGTTGGTCGCAGGCAGGGATAGGCAGTACAGTTGAACCTCGATTTAGCGAAGTCACCAGGACCCCCTAATTATTTCGTTAAATCGGGAACTTCGTAAAGTCGAGAAAGACATTCTTCGGGATAGGCTGCGCGGGGAATCCGAATTTGTTCGTTAAATCGGGAAACTCGTAAAATCGGGTTTCGTTAAATTGAGGTTCAACTGTATTTCAAATACCAGTATTTGAAATATGTATTTCAAATACTTTGTGTATTTTGCATTTGTATTTAATTACAAATTGGGTAATGTATTTGACGTGTGTATTTAAATACTAAAACGTGGGTATTTAAAATAGAATTGTAATTAAATACACTTTTGTGAGCGAAAATACATCCCTCAAATTTATTGTCGCTGTCCAGAGCAGGAAGAAAACTACGTTCTGCACCGAATGCAGTGTCTCTCAATCAAGCACAAGCGTTTAGTGACTTTGTGATTACGGTGCTCAGGGCAAGAATAGTGACGAAATCGACGTTCACAGGCAGACTGGCTAAATAAGTGCCTGTGACAACTTGTGATGCTTTCCAGCCTGATTTCCATCCATATTTTTGCCTGGAACATTCTAAATGCGCGGGTCGTCCAGATTTTCGTAACTGGTGCGAGTTGCAACAATAAAAAATTCTCTAGCTAGTGCTGCGCGTCTTGGTTTTCTCGGTTCTTTGTGGGTATATACCAAAATGTAATCAACAAAAAAGCTGCTTTAAGCTCTACTTTTTTCACCTATTACGTCCAAGCTGATTACATTTTTTTTGTGATTATATTTCTATCACGTTACTAGAGCCTCGCTCACTAACTCCCGAGTGTGCGATGCAAAATTAAAATGAGTTACCCAGAAACCCATTGCAGGTGCCCTGAAGTTGCTGACGCAAACTTTGAGGAATGTATTTGGACAAGTATTTGGAGGAGACCAAATACATTTGGTTGTATTTGTATCTTGTACTTAAATGCTTTTTGGGAAATGTAATTAGATTTGTAATTAAATACATTTTTGACAAAGTATTTTGTATTTGTATTTCGATACATATTTGCATGTATTTTGCCCATCCCTGGCTGTAGGTAACTAAAAGCCTCTAACTGAGGTTGACCACCGTGCTATTATAAATAATTCCTAACTAAATTTTGTTCCTTAGCAGACCGGACTGTAAAAAAAAGCAAAAAACTTTTATTGTTATTTCAATGTGCCTCTGATATTGTAGTGGCCCTAATGTTCAGAATTGTTTGTGTAATATGAACGACGGGGCTGAACGCATGAACACAAGCTGTCATTGCTTCTGCCTTCTTTTCTGAGGACTGATGACCTCCAAAGCTTCCTAGGCAGATGCCTGTGCTTCGCAGAGCCACTTTTTGATGTACATTTTCTCCACTATCCTGGCGGCGACAACCGACTCGGGGTCGGCCGGATTAGAAGACCGCAGGTCAAGGTGATGTGCTGCTTCCGTCATGTACAGGGCGATCAGGCTGTCCGACAGGCTTTTCAGCACTCCACCACCAGACCAGGGGTCTATGTCGCCATTGCTGCAACGCAGGTGTGACATGAGGTCCAGTAAGGAAAGCAAGTGTATCACATCTTTCGGAATGTAGTCCGCAGGCTATGCACGCCCAAAAGTTTACATTTAACGCGGTGCGGACTGTCTGCAAGCCCGGCCTGTACAAGGATTTGTGTTTCTTCAAGACCGTTCGTTATGACAATGAATCACGGATTATGTTAGCAATAATTTCTGATGATAGAAGTTTTTTTTTTTTTGTGCACTAATAGCATTGATGGAAGTGCTGCACCATTTGTGCCAAATTGCGCCAAAATTTTATTTTCCCTAAAAATTGCCACACCTCCGCTGAGATGGGCTTAAAGCAAAAAATTTTAATTTTTTTATTATTGGTCAACTTAGATATTCAGGAAAGTAGAGCGGAAGAGGCTGGGCATCAACCACTCTGGCCGGTTAATGCGCTGGCAGGTTGTTCACCAACATCGTCTAATTTACAGACAATGTCGATGTCAGGAACCTGATGAAACTTCGCAAAATAGTAGGATTGTCGATTGCGGTTGTTGGGATAAAACAGAACCAAGGTCTTGTACTCCTGATAAGATCACTTGATAATCATGTCTGCCACGTGCCTTCTTTGCTCTGTGGCTGCAGAGTGTCGTGGCACTTGCGTCGCTTGCGTCAACCTCTACCGCCTCTTACCAACGTGCGTACGTGGAGCTTCACCGCTTTGCACCAAAGTGCTAGAAGCAGCGGCTGAACTGGGGGAGCGCCTGGCTTAGTGCAAATTATGCTCAGGATGATTGCAGGTCCACCTTCTTTTTCAAAATTGTAAATCAATCTCTTATAAAAAAAATAAAATAAATACGAGCCGAGAAAGAGAGGGAGAAGAAAACACGGGTCCATCTACAGTATATATATTTGAATAAATACGGTAGTCACGGTAGTTCCCGTGCAGCTGTCGATCGAAAGAGCTGCGAAATTTGATGGAACTCTGGTTCCTGTGTCGCTGAAGAGCAGTGTCACCTTTAAAGGGATACTTCAACGAAATTCGAAATATTCCCGTCGTGTTCAAAAATAGGTTTAATATGATCCAGAATATCCGTAAATGACAATCGCACGCTTGTATATTTTGAGCCTGGTGGCTGTATTTTTCGTTATAAACGGCCCACTCTGGCAAGCGCTCAAAGGAGGCCCAGCGGAGACCACGTGACATCCAACGCAATCATGACGGAGGTCGTCTCAGGATGAGCAAAGCTACGGCGAGGCTGATGTCGAGAGGATGGCCTAGTCGTTCCAGCCACCCAAGTGGCTGCTTTTGTATGAATTTTGAGTGACGGGTTAATCTTCTGTAATCTTGTAGGGGGACAATAGCGACTTCTGTGACACACAAAAGGCATTCTCGGGAAGAGGGGAGATCCTCCTGCCCCTCTTCTCTCGTCGTGGCCGGAGGCGAGACAACCTCCGTCACTAGCTGTCAAGGTTCCTAGACGGGCGTTACAAGCGAGGCGTTAGCGACATCCGCCAGGTGCTTTTTAATAATCGTTCCATTCATTTTAAAATTCCTTTTTGTGACTTTTTTAACAAGATATTGGTATGTTCGGTGTGATGCTGCCCCTTTGAACACATGTAGACCAAAAAATGAGCCCCGGAATTTCGTTGTAGTATCCCTTTAAAGCACAAGTGAAGGCTTTTCTAATATTTTTGGGTGGTAGCTTTTGCAGTTTATGATATTAAGTGTCTTGAGTTTGGTAGGTTCATTAAACTTAAGGGATGCATTTTTATTGGTAGAGGTGTCAGCAGATCTGCTGGCTCTTGCTAGCATTTTTCAGAAATAACAGGCTAAACAAACTACCGAGTGTAAAATAGGAAGGGAAGAGAGAATTTATACCAAAGAAGTGTTGCACTATGATTCACTTTTTGGCCATTTTTTAATACCCTTCCTGCGTTCCTTTTACACTCTATCTAATCTTATCACAAACGGTGATAAGTGGGATATGCTCAAGTATCAAAGGGAAACCCTTGACCACTGTCAAATGAACTAATTTAGTGAAGCAATCACTTTTTTATTATCAAGTCACGTGCTCACAAATGTTGGCATCTGCTCCAAACCAATATTTGGCTTCCTAGAGAACCTGTTCCAAACCAATATTTCGCTTGCTACAGAACCTGTTATAAAAGGCCAAATGTCACTTGCATCACTGTAATAGCTGTACTTGGCAGCCAGCAACAAAAGTGCAAAGAAAACTGGTTTAGTTTCAGGGTGGGCTGTGCGTAATAATTTTTTATGTGCAGACTCTATTGGGGCAGGTTGCACCAGGTGTGGGCATTCTAAAGTAAGAACTCATTTTTCAGCCTGTATTGGCCCCTGCAGACTATACACTGGGTGGCAAACTATAGTTCAGAAAATGGGATAGTCGGGCTGAGTGCTGTAGGCGGATGGCAGCAATGCTTTAGCCAACTGTAGCAAGGTATCGAGGCTGTTGCAACCTGGAATCGTCTGTGATATAATCGATGACCATCACAAACATCTTCATTTGACATTGTCGGGAGCCCCTCGTTCATAGTTTTTCAGCCAGAATGGTGATCAAGTAAAAATGTTCTAGCTATGAGAGGTTTTCCTTCTTATGCAAGGCACTTAATGAACCTTTTCAGCAGATGGCAATTAGAAAAAATAAATGAAGAATGTAGTAACTACACAAGGCTCTTGATAAGTGTGTTCACCAACTGTGGACTAATGCGGAGTGCTAGTTCATCTGCTTGTTTTGCAGGGGTTGTGGTGACGTCGGAATGCTGAGCTCTGATTGGCTCTATTTGAAGGATAGTGAATAGACCTCAAGGCAGCTTGCTTTGAGGTCTGCCCACTATTGTTCAATCAGAGCTCGGCGTTCTGATGTCACCACGACCCCTGCAAAAGAAGCAGACGAACTTGCGCTGTGCTTTGTTTGAGTTATTAGGGATGAAGCACATTGGTTTGCTGCAATTGCTTCAAATTTTGTCAGGTCTTGTCACAGAGTTGCACGTGAGGACGTACTCTGGCAGTTTTGCAAACTATTCTAGTGAAAACTCACCAATTTCTTTGACATTTGGGAGGTTTCGAGTGGTGCGACCTTCACTTTCAAGTGTATTTACCTGAATATGATGTTTGACGCTGCTGAGATGTTCTTTCCTCCGAATATGAGTGCCGCCTTGTCGACGTCGGGAGTGAGACCAAACTTCTGCTCACATTTTGCTGTGACATTCTCAATGATCCAGGGATTGTCGAAAAACATGTCCGTTTTCCCGTTGCTGCACATTGGCATGACCATTTCGTTGCACGACTGAAAGAGTAGGCATAAGGTGTGTGTTCAAATAATTTCTATTTATAACTTTATTATTTTTCATTTGTGCTTCATTTTTTTTTGGGGGGGATAGGTTTCTTTTGCTGATTGACATACTTACTTCCTTTACCCTGTTCGTTCTGACATTCAATGCCCAAGCCTGTGCTCTCTTGGAATGCAGGATTGAATGTACATAATCGTATATATGAAATTTTTTATAAACCGTGCACAAATGACCAACGTTTCACATATCTGTGGGGCAAAAACCTTTTGGTGTACCCAAGTAGATGTGCTAACACGCGATATATAAGAAGACATGTCCAACAGGAATGCAATAATCATTGAAATTTGTGGCCGGGAGGCAACTACTAACTTATAATTCCATTTCCCAAATGGAGTACCACTTTTGCCCTAGACGCCAGGAAAAATTGAAACGGATGGATAGTTGAGAGCAGATTCCTGTTAATGATACCACATATAACGATGTACCACTTATAACAATCAGTTTCTAGAGTTCTTAGACTGGAAATGATCAGTTTCTAGTCCAGATACAACGATAGTCGATTATAACGGTCAAAATTTTTGGGTTTTCTCAATATTGTTATTGCAAGGTTGCATTGTACCCATGTGAGGGGATGTAAGGAGATGAGCCAAGGACAAGAAACTGCCCATACAAGACATTCGTGGCCTAATTTTCTCAATAAAACTAACCTTCAAAATTTACTTCAGCAGGACTGAAGCTCCTTTCCTTTCTCTCTTTGCCTTTGTAAATGGGGAGGGAAGGAGCCCAGTTTGGAAAGCTGCCCGGAATAAATTATGAAATGGTGCCAAAGCGACGATTGGGGAATCGAGGTGCGGTGTCTTTAGCCTGGCTTGTTGTCGGGAGAGTCTGAAGTTTCCTTACAACCCATGGAGATAGGAATAAGAGGAGGCGACATACCGGCTCAAACCAGCCAAAGAAGAAATCGCCAGTGCAGCCGGAAGTAAAGGTCGTGGTCAATGGGAACGCCCCCAAGGGTGCCCAACTACGTCGAGTAGCGTTTAAGGGGGCCAAGTCCGTCCAACAGCGTCTTTTGGTTTTGGTCATCGTTGGGGGTGTGTCCCTCCAAACCGGAGGTGTCCCCCGGCTTCACCTCTGGTGGTGTCATGTCGCGTCCGTGTGCTTCCTACCTCCATGCTAAAGCCAAATGCAGTATGACTTTATAATCGTCTGCTAGATTGACTGGCACCGACCCCATCTTGGAGCTGTGTGTAGTACCTGTATGTCCCAACCGCCGGCGTCGAGCGTTCCGGCACTGTTGGTCAGATCGTTGCAGTGGGTTTGGCCGGTGTAATTCTGGAAGACGCTGATGGCTTGGTAAATTCCGTCAAGGAGCGACTGGTCGTCTGTGAAGTTCTTCTCGAGAAACTTGCACGCCTCCTGCACCGGTGAGGAAAATGGACATGTGTAGATTAATGATCGGCATGTTACGAAAGCAGGGTAGTGAAAACAAAATCTCATGCCCCCCCCCCCCCCCCCCAAAAAAAAAAAAAAAAAGTTGCTGTGGTTTTTTTTTTTTTTTTTTCTTAGCTTCCAGGTATTTTCGGCTTTGTAGTACGGTGCCTGCAGGAATGCGTCCCCAACTTGTGTGTTTAGCGACATATTCAACCCATGCATCGAAAGTGGTCCTGAAGTGCAACAAATGACGTCACGAAAGCTGGAATATCGTGCCGTTGGATGTCGCAGCTCGCGATGCTTTCAATTATATAATACACTCGCGGAAAAGAATAAAGAGAATTCGAGTGTTGTCATTGTTGCGGCGTTCCTACTTCTGGCTGCCGAAGCTTCGGTCGACTCGAGCCAGAGAGCGCGAAACGCGCGTCTGCCACGTTTACCACCGCTGCTGCGACACCGCTAGGACCGCGGCCGGCGACTTTTGCGACGTTGTCGGGCGGAAATCGGGGGACCACTTCTTAGGACGCGGTCCGTCACTTTTTTTACGTTCCTTGAATGTTTTACAAGATACTTTCCCAATCTCGTGGTTTAAACATCGTGATTAAGGTGCCCGTAGTACTGTGATGCAGCACTTGTGCTGTAACGCGTGGCAGCTTCAGTTATAGCTCCTGGCCTAGCTCCGTACGGATATCATTGAACTCGGCGAGAGGGGGGACACTCCTTCCCTTTTTCCAACCGCTCGGTCAACGCCCTCGTCCCCTTCGGCAAGGGCCGTCACGTGCTTCGCTTCCGTCACCCTAATAGACCCTTTCCGGAATTCAGTGCCATCTGGTGACTCAAATGACAGTTTATCTTTTACTATACTAATGGCGGCAATGAACCTGTAGTCTGCAGTATTTAATAGGGCAACGTCACTTAAAGGTCGACGGTAAGCGAGAATGTGCACTTCACTACAATTATTTTTCAATCTCTTTTAGTGTCGATGGCGAAACAAATGCAGCCAGTCGGAACGAAGCGCCAACCCACATAGACGCCTTGATAGAGTTCTATACATCCAGGGGCTTTGAAGCCGAGTGAGTGCTACTAACAGATTGACTGGGAACGAGTTAGAAATTAACGCTTACGCAGCTCTTGCGTCCAATTCCTGCTTCACGCCGCGCTAACATCTAGCATGTATAGGCCTCTAATCATCTGCTTAGGAGCATCTTCAACTTCTTCCTTCATCAGTAAACAGAAGGCCGCCATTAGTATAGCACATATGCTGTTTTCAGATGATGATGATAATGATCAAAGTGGCCGGACTGAATTCCGGAAAGGGTCTATTGTCTCGAAGGGGCCATAGCGTCTGCCGTTTGCCAAGTTACGGTGAAACGAAATATAGATGGCGCACACTTTCGGAAAGGGGCTCAGGGAGTTTTAGTAGACCGTGTTTCCCGCTCCGCTAGCCCTCCGCTACGAAGAAACCGCCACTGCGCCTGCGCGCCGATGGCCTTGGCTGTAGAGTTCCGGGTAGCGGAGGGGCTTAGCGGAGCGGGAAACACGGTCTACTAAAACTGCAGCGTCGCCACCACCAGCTGCCGTCTCGGCCACTCGCTCCGAGTGGGTCTCTCACGTCGGTGGAGACCGTACCTGCTGGAGAGTGGTTTGCCGCCGTTACCTTGACGGGGTGTCCAGGAACCGGCCCAAGAAACTCGTTGGCGTACGGGTAGTTCACCATGGCGAGGTTGGTGTAGACGTCCACGAACCAGTCCCTGAGCACCGTGTAGTTGCTGGGGGCAAGCGCCTGACACAGACGGAACTTTTCTTCCAGAGCCTTGGCACCTTCCTCTGTTTGCGGAAAAGTGGTCGAGCCGGCGAAAGGGAGGTGTACAACAATGGCTCAAATGAAAACATAAACAAAAAACAGTTGCACTACTTGCGACATTAATTTACCGTTAAAGCGAGGCTGAGGGACGCATTCGAAAACGTCGTGGGCGGGGATGGTCCCTATCGAAGGTTACGAATGAAAACCTGAAGCCAGCGTCGCACCAGTACATCATACACAAGACAGCCTGCAGACTCTCGGGTGTGCTTATTTCTTGAATAACTCATGTCACACTGCAAGAGAACTGCCTGCAGACATGTTTGAAGCAGCGTACATACGAATGAAGCAAACGTTCTTCGAACACGTACGCTTGAGGCATGTTTGCAGATACCGTACTTTCATCGTGTCTGCAGTAAACACCCGTTTCTTGTACGAGCTGTGCGACTCCGGCTCAAATTTTCCCGTCCGCCTCATCTCTTGTACAGTTCTTTGTGCCAAAAGGGGAAAGCAAAGGGCTTTGCGAAAGGGGCTGGTGTCAAGACGATGCGCGCTTGTTGCGCATTGTCTTGATAAAAAAGAAAAAAAAAAAAAAAAGATAATCGCACCTGTTGCCGCTTGGTTCCTCATGACTTCGAAAGATGTTCGGATCGCACTAGTGCATTGGTCCGATTCTTTGGCGAAGGCCTTTGTCACCACTTCGTTGAGGGCATTGCAGGGCGTGATCCCCGTAAACTGCAGTATGGGCGCGCTTGCTGCCAGGGCACTGTAGTGAAGAATGGAATTCGGTGCATGAAAACCTTCTAGCAGGTCGGCGGCAGTGTCATTGTGTGAGCCAAGGGTGCCTGGAACGCGTCTTTGACCGGTGTGTTTACCTTCCTGTCCGGCCCGTGCAACAATGGGCTAAATCCCCCAAGCGCCCCGACCCGCACCTGAGGAATCATGGGAACGGTGTTCCTTCGGCTCCATAGTGATTGGTAATTTGGACCAATTCGATGGTTACACAGTTTTAAGTGCAATCCGGAGTCACCCTGATCGAGTGTCGTGTAGAGTCCAAGAAGCAGTCGTATCACTTTTAAATTTTCTCGTCAATGTCAGCGTTTTTGATAGTGTGCAGGCGATTCACCTTTCAACCTGACTGAGGTGCAGAAATCTCGCAATATCATTCTCGTGATTGTTGTTTTAGCAGTAATTGCTTAAAAAGTTCAGAATTGACAATCAAAACCAGGATTCAGCTGGGAGTCGGCGGGGCTGTTTATAGGAGTTTCAGCGTTTCTAACTTAGTGACAACGTCAGCGTCTTTGAAGCTGTACAAGAATGATAATAATGTAAGCGATTTCTGCAGATCAACCAGGTCGAAAAGTGGACCGCATGCACAGTATCAAAAACGCTGACATTGACGAGAAATTTTAAAAGTGATATGACAGGTCCTTTGACTCGACATGACGCTTGGTCAGGGTGACTCCGGATTACTCTCAAAACTGTATAACCATCAAATTGGTCGAAATTGCCGATCACTAGAGAGCTGAGGGACCACCGTTCCCATGATTCCTCGAGTGCGGGTCGGAGCGCTAGGGGCGCGTTTTTGTGCGCGTTGGCCATGCACTTCCCGGAAATTGCGTTTTAGAGCGCAGCTCTTAGGCGCCCGTTTACGGCTTGAGCAGCGTCGGCGTAACCGTGAGATCACGGGGGGTGAAGGAGGAGGGGAGGAGTAGCAGGCAGTGTGACGAGGTGAAGAGGAGGGGTACACCCTCCCCTAGTACCCTTCCCTCCTCCTCCTCAAGAGCTGCGCTCTATTTCGGCGTTACAGGGAGTTGTAAACGGCTTTCATTTTTTTTGTGACATTTTTGCTGATTCCGGGGCGCTTTCTGAGTCACAGCCATGCACCTTGGTTGGGATGGTGCGGCTTCGGGCGAGTGCACTCTGGTGGTGAAGTGACCCTAATGCAGCTTTGTCTTTGCTCTGCGCGTCCGTAGCAGCCTTCTTTTTGGCTGCAGAAGTCACCTTCCTGGCGTCCGAAAGAGGGGGAAAGTTCATAGACGCAGCCATACTTGCAACCAAGCAGAGAGCATCTGTGCCAGACGGAGAAGAAACGCGGATCCGGAACTAGTGCCCTCCTCCTATTGGCCGACATACAGGAGCGCCCTTCTACGTCAGAGCGCGTTTTCTTGCGCCTCCAGAAGAAGTTGAAAATATGCGACTTTCTTGTGCGCTCCCGGAAGGTGCGCGGAATCAGCGCGGCGTCACGAAGTACGCAACTTCCGGGATCCGCGCGCCCTAAGCGCGCACAGAAACGCGTTGGTTTGGATCGCGCTTTAGGCGGTTTCGGAGTGGCAACCAATTGCGTCGCAGGAGCCAGCGTGCCATGCTGTCGGATGTCGTGATTCTGGCGTTTGGTGACGTAGAAATACTGGAGGAAAATGCGAACAGACGCGAGAGTGCGCTGTCTTCGCTGCATTTCAACTCGTGTCTGCTTTGGTTCCCGCCGACTGCCTGGCTGCAGAGCGACGTGGGGCGGAGCAGACGTCTGCCACATCCACTCTTGCTGCTGTGCCGCTGTCAGGATCGCGACAGGCGATAACATGACATCTTTGTGACGTAACGATCTCTTCATTCTTCAATTGACAAATTTACTAATGCTATTAACATTTTTAATTTGATTACTTTTTTGTCCATCTTTCTTTTTTATATATTTACTTAGACCGCTCCTCTGGGCATGCCATTACTTTCTTATATTTGAACATTGTACGTCACTCCTGCTATGCCTCTCACTGGAGAGCCGCTAAATTCATAACACATGAACAAAGTCGAGGGACCATTTCTGAGGGTGTGGTAAACAATAGTAGGAGGCGCAATCGAGGCACCATGGTGTCTGTGTTAAACAGTTGTTAGGAAAGCATGGAAGAGAGCACTCGTGTGCAATCGCGAGTAATCTTGTTTATTATTTTAATGCGAAAGCACTAACAGTCCCATAGAGCGAGCGAACGTCATCAGCTTTGAAGCCGCGCTAAACGGCACCTCAAATCCTTTCTCCAAGTGAAGTCAGCTCCCAGCTATGAAACCACGCGAAAAGCCTAGCCAAACGGCACCTAGTTTCCCCGATTCCAAAGGAGCGGAGTAAAGCTGATGGATTTCGGCTTTGGTCCCATTGGCTGGTGCGCGTCAACGAGGCTTTCATTGGCTGCTGCGCGTCAGTTTCAGCGACCGCCACCCCATGGCGCTGCGTGTCCGCGAGGCAGCGGCTCCACCGCTCCACGCCCAAAGTCAGCGCGCCGAGGACAGCGCACGCGCTCAACCGTCGACGCAAGTACGCCGCAGACGAAAGAAGGGAACGGAAGAGCGGCGTACATGCTTTCGCATTCACAACTCATTAGAAGTGCTTAGGTGCACTTCGAGCCGTTTTTAGAGCGCAGCTCTTTGGGGCCCGTTCCCGGCTTGAGCGGCGTCGGCGTCGCCGTCGGCGTAACCAAGGTCATCCCAAGGTCACGTGGCCACAAGGTCACCCCAAGGTCACGTGACCCCCAAGGTCACGTGACACTCAAAGTCACGTGACCCCCTGAAGTCACGTGACCCCCCGAGGTCACGTGACCCACCCCCTGAAGTGACGTGACACCCCCAGGTCACGTGACCCTGGGGGTGGTCACGTGACCTGGGGGTGTCACGTGACTTCGGGGGGCATCCGCATCGTCATCATCACAGATGACGTCATCAGTGACGTCACTGATGACGTCACCAACATCCGCATCATCATCGTCATAATCGCTGATGACGTCATCATCGCTGACGTCATCAGCGATGATGCTCGGCGTCATCGCTGATGACGTCATCGGAGTCCGCATCGTCATCGTCACTCAGTGTTGTACGGAACGGCGTTCCAAGGAACGGCGTTCCTGGAACGCGTTCCTTTTAGGAGGAACGAAGGAACGCCGCCGTTCCATTTTGCATCGCTGGAACTGGAACGGGAACGCGTTACATTTTTGCTGGAACGGAAAGAGTAACGGCGTTCCTTTTTTTCGTCCAGTGGGCTGATTTTTATTTTATTTCTAACAGGGAAAGTATGAAAGTACAAACACAATATCTTTACGAAGTGCAGGATCTCGTTAACTTTTTGGCTACAAATCTTCTGGATTATTTTGTGTGGTCCTCGCTTGCTAACAGTTTCGGGTGCAGGAGAGCTGGTGGGAGTCGATATATCTTTGAGTGCCCGAAACTGCGGCACAAAAAGCAAAACTTTTAGTCGTAGGAAAAGACAAAGAGGGCTGTTTCTAACTCAGCTACTTTCTTTGGTTCCACGAATCCTCATACACCCAGAAATTTTATTGCGACTACAGTCATTTTTGAACTTCAATAACGAGACCTACAATTACAACAAGATCACAGATTGCGAGATATCGGACTCACCCTTGTATCCCGAACATTATTCACTTAAAAGATACACAAAAAATAGCCTTTATTCCTTCCCTTGTCCCCCAGCTTCAAACTGAACAACAAATTTAACCTTCCCAACCAAGTATTTGTAGCTTTCAATACTGACTTTCCAGAAGCTTTACCCTCTCCTTCACTTGCTTGTCTTGCGGACAGCAACAAGGAGAAGCAACTGTTGTCAAGTTCTAACACGGGACTCTGTTAAATTGAAGCGTGTGAGGTTGTAAAATGCTAGTGCAACCTTGGGTAAAAGTACATTAAATTTGACTCGTCTGAATTGTCCACTACAAACATGGACATGGTTAATAGCTGGGATGTTTAAAATACATATATCAACAAATAAAACCCTACTTCCGCGTGTTTTCTACTCCTGGTGCCCTTCCATCCCGACATGCAAACTCGTATGTTGACTATTAATGGGATAGATAAAAAAACTCTGATTGATTTAACTAATGGAAAAAGACAAGCGCCGAAAGACCAGGACAAAGTAAGAAGACGACAACACAAGGCGCCTTGTGTTGTCGTCTTCTTACTTTGTCCTGGTCTTTCGGCGCTTGTCTTTTTCCATTATGAACCAACTGGCCCAACTCACCATTTTGTTGCAATTTGATTTAACTAAATATGGTAATTAGCAAAAATACAAATGTAACGTATATGTAACGATACGTTCCATTTTTGAAACTGTAACGGGAACGAGTTCCTTTTTCACACATGGAACTTGTAACGGGAACGCGTTCCAAAAATCAGAAGGAACGAGGAACGAGCTTTCATTCCTTTTTTTGAGGAACGTGTACAACACTGTCGTCACTGATGACGTCATCAGTGACGTCAGTGATGACATCATCGGCATCGTCACGTGACCCCCCAAGGTCACGTGACCCCCCCCAGGTCACTTCACCCCCCCAGTACCCTTCCCTCCTCCTCCTCAAGAGCTGCGCTCTAATTCGGTGTTACAGGGAGTTGTAAACGGCTTTCACTTTTTTTTTTGAGAACTTGCATTTTATAACATAAAACTCATCACCGGAAGTACGTATAACTGGGTGATGAAGCAGCGCAAACTTACGCCGTGGTCACGTGGGGATACTTGAGACGAAACCAGGCTGCCAGCATGCCTCCGTAGGATCCCCCGAAGGAAACCACCTTGCTGTCTCCAGCTGCTGGGACATGTGCCTTGAAGTGCGTCAACAGATCCGCGTAATCCGCAAGGGCCTGTTCTACCGTCAGGTATCCATGGCGACTCGGACCCTACGGAAAAGTTTGATCGTAATTTAAACTTTTTATCGCGAGCCCTTTAATCGTAGATCTTTGTACGTTCGTCCGCCCGTGCTTTCCCCGCTAAATTTAGCGGGAAAATTGATTTCACGTGACTCATGTCACGAAAGACTTCATGGTATCACTGGACACCCTGACTTGACGCCGTGAATTTGGTCATGCGACCACGTAGCGAGATGCCGATTTCCCCGCTAAATTTAACGGGAAAAGTAATATTACAGTACCCGACGTCACGGAAGAAATCCCCTCTGTATTTAGCGGCAAACAAAAACTCATCACATGACGTCATATTGCGTGCCTGACATCGCTTGACGTCATGAACTCGCGGACACAGTTGACCCTATGATGTCAGATCACGGGACGTCAATTGTCAGGCTAAATTTGCGAGAAAGTTGCGCGCGATATCATCGCGTGTTAAATTGTATCAGCTGAATTTCGCGTGAGGTCAGGTTACGTAATGTCACTTTCCCCGTTAAATTTAACGGGAAAATTAATTAACACTATTCTTCACTCCCCGAAACGACTGTTCGATGTCTTCTAAACAAATTCAAACGGTTGCTGCTCAAATACTGCATTCTTAAAAAAAAAAAAGAAAAAAAAAAGGTTTTTTTTTTTTTTAATCTGTTAAGAGTTTCCAAATGGATCGCCTACCTCGAAGGATTCCTTTCCGTACGGCATGGACTTTCCGTAGTAGCGATGTTCAGCGAAAATCAGGAGAGCCTTGAATTCCGGGGCCCAGTCCCACATCAAGCCCTGAAAAGAGAAATTCGAATGATCTCTACCAGGGGTCCCAAACTCATTCGAGTGTGGGGCTGACTGTTCTAGCGACACCCCAGAGATTTTCTACACAAGGAACCCTGTGCTTTCTTCTGCTTTTTGTAAGCGCATCTTCTTGCCATCTTCAGCTTTTCATTTGCATATACGTCTACTTCGGGCCCACAACTGATGTCGTAAGAAGATTTAAAACACCACCACACAGCAGTAATGGCAGTTTTCAATAGGGAGTATTTACTGGCGGCCATAGCTGTGCGCGCGAATGCTGAGCGCGTGCTGGCGGCGTGCTTCCACAGTTCTTTTGCCATGTGCATTCCGCACCACCAAGATTGCCGGTCTTCGCAGCCTATTAACGTGAGCTCTTTCCGAGCTCACGTTAATATGGCGTCCAGTGAAAACTCTATAGAAGGAGAGCAAGCTTGCCCTGCCGCACAATTGACTGCTCTCAACAGGCAATGAAAAAAAGGTACCTTCATACGGCAGTTTTTTTCTCTTAACGATTTTTATAACACCATTATATAAAAAATATTTTTAAAGATATGGTCCGACAGCAAGAAGCCCGAACTCTAGCTTTATTTTTTTGGCAGTTGCTCTTGCTGAGTGAGAGTTTGTGCAGCTGAGGTGTCTCATTGACCAAACAGCTCTCGCTGTTAGCCTAGTAGTGGTATTGCCATTCTGATTGATTTACACGAGAAAATGCTGCGAAGCAAATATTTAGACGAAGAAGTACTCCGCCCAAAAGAAAACACAATAGCGCAAAATGCGGGAACACGTTATATGGGCAGAACTCTTTTTTGAGCCGAAATGAATCGACGATGTAAAACCATTATTTATGACGGACTTGGTTGCTCAAGGCATGGGAAGGAGAGCTCGCGGCCACAGGGCGCTTGCGGGCCGCGTCCCAGAGAGTCGCGTGCCGCGTGTTTGAGACCCCTGATCTATACCCAAAGCTCACGTGTGAACCAGGTAAATACAATTTTTGCCCCTCGTTGCTCGCGATATTTCACGCGGTCTTGGACGTCGTAGCTAGGGATGAGGCGAGCCTGCCCTGGTTCGAGTTCCACCAGCTTCGACTTTTTCGAACTTCTGACAAAGAGGTTGGTCCAAAGTTCGACTTTCGTGCGGATGCGCGTAGATGGAAAACGGGCTGACACCACCTAGCGGAGAAAAAGTGGAACAAATGTTTTTTATTGACCTTACGGTTTTATTGTTTTACTATAATAAACTACACACAAAGTTGGGTATTTTATACACGCCAAACCAACGAAGCGCACCTGGCACGCCCTAGCGGTGGAATAGGAATTAATTCTGACCTCCGGGGGATCCTCTGACGTGCAACCAAGGTCCCTGTTATGCGACGCCTTCTCCGCAATAAGCCTCGGTCAGACGGCGTGCACCTAGGCCGGGATTCGAACCCGCCGCCTGGGGATCCGTAGACCGGCGATTCGCCCAGGAGGCACCGAGGCGGCCGAAAAAACGAACTACACCATTAAAAGAATACATGTTAGCTTTTAAATTATGTAAACATTGGAAATGTTGTTGTAAACTATAAAATAAACTGATTTATAAATTATTTTCTTCCCCAAATTTGAAATGCCTTGTGTAATAGTCGTGCAACACTGTTTTTAAGGCGAACTTCGTTAAAATTGCTACAAGTTTCAAGTTTCACCGAGCTACAAAAATAATAAAAATAAAAATAAAGTGGATTGAATTAGGGATTGAAATCATACGGTTTTACTGTGGTTAAAACCAGTGGTCTCAAAAACCCCGCCCGCGGGCCAGATCCGACCCGCGGATGCTTTCCGGCCGGTCCGCCGATGGACGCGGTCAAACCTGGGACGATCCGCCCCCTGGCCCGCTGCTACCAGCGCAAAAAATAGCGTCCCGTAAAAAATCAGCGCAGCGACACCCACCAAAGGCGCAAACGAAGTTATCGGAAAGAATGGAAGAAAAGTGCAGTGTTGTGTGAATATTCGAATGTTCGAATAGTAGTTTCGAATAGTACGCTATTCAATATTCGCATAGATATTAACCGTGATATTCGTATTTTTCGAAGTGTTAACCGCGGTGGGATAGCCCTGGTCCTTTTCTGCAGTGTACCGGTGCTGTGTAAGAAGCTTTCTTAATGGGCTTGACCCACCGCGATGAACATTTGGCAAAGTGGAATTATGACAGTCACGTTCTTAAGAGAAAACCCACTTTCAAAGCGGTATAATAAACGTGCGCGCGCAGTATATGCAAAAAAAAGAAAAACTTTTTTTTTGATTACAGAAAGAATAAATCAAACTCGAGACGAAGGATGACGAACGCTCTCAGGTAATATAAAATTTGTGCACGTTGAAATCTACGCTATAGAGAAAATTTTTAAAATTAAACTTTGGCTATCATGCAAGATCCTGTTAGCCAGATATGCCCTTACAACCTACGTTGATCATTCATGATTGTCTTTTTATTTTTTTTTAAATTCTAGATTTAATAAAGAATATTCGCATATAACAAGGCGATTATAAACCCCCTCAGTTACACAGCTGGGCTTCTCTATATGTTTAATTTTAAGTCCAATGCATCGTTTACTTGCTGTTCCCCTGCAGGCAACGGACTTTATGAGGTTACAGACCATAAATATAGCAAGATTACAATTAGCTTAGATACGGACAAGTCGAAGCTCGGGTACAACCTTTACGAGTTCAGATGGATTTTCGTTTAGGCATGGTGCAGTGTAGTTAAAAGCTTGGCGAAACTATTCGATATTCAATTCGAAAATATTCGGCCGAAATCACTATTCGCTTCGAGCGCAAAATATCCTATTCGCACATGCCTAGAAAACTGCGTCGAAACACCGGTTTCCTCGCCATGTTATTTATTGTACATTGTCGGTACCAGAATTACTATTCCCTTCTTGACTATGAAAAAAAAAAAAAATCACTTGCGTTCTCATATATGTCGTGCCTGGTGATCTGATCTGATTTAGCATTTTCATTAGTCGTCAGCCCTTTGTCAAAGTGCCAAACTTCCTATGCGCTTTTTTATGCCTGGTGAGTTCTCTATAAACCTTTGCTGTAGTTTATATATTTTGTGTATATAAAAGTTTATTTAGGCCTATTTGTTTAGTATTGAATCTTTTATATTGTCTCATATAATTTCCGGCCCTCGAGACTGCAACAGGTCCACAATCAGGCCCCCAGCGAAAACGTTTGGAGCCCGCTGAATTGAACTAAACCTTTGCCACGAAAATAATTAATTCACCTTTTGTCTTTCTTTTGCTAGTTTTTGAGTGAATTTGCTTTGTAATTGAGTTAAAAAAAATCACTAACACAACAAAGATTTATATCAGGCTGAACACGATCACAAGTACTGTCGAGACCTATTATAACAAAGTCAAGGGGAACCGGAAATCATTTCGCTATTTCCGCTATCTCGTTATAGCCGATTTCGCTATAACGGGTCTCGACACAAGTGATCTTCTGAGCAAATCGGTACTTTGAGCTTTCTTTCTATTCTAGACATCGTTCGTCAATTGCATAACGTCTTATTGCATGCAAACAAGAATGAATAAAAACAACACGAAAACTACTAAAGTTAATGTTCTATTGCAAGAAAACCAAATCGCGACAGAAAGGCGAATAAAGTTTCTTCGCTTACAACAACACATCAAGCTGTTATTAATCTACTATGGCAAATTTGACTCAATATAAAGTTGTTAGTTAAACTGTGCTCTAAATCTGCACTATATATATATATATATATTTTTATCGAATTGTTTTCAGGAATTGGGGGAGGGATTCATCACTCAGTCTACCAGATTGGAAAATATATCTAGTGATTCGGAATCACTATTCTATAGCTAGAGTGATTTAAATTAAATTGACCTTTTTGAAATAATAAATCTGATTTAAATAAAACATTTGGTGTAGATGAGATGAATCGAATTTAAAGTAAATAAATATGATTTAGATTAAATAATTCTTAAGTATCAATGTTAGCTTCTATATTGTGTAGACATTGGTAATCAATGTATAACTTCGTAGAACTTCGCTAAAATTTTGGAAATTTACTGAACCAGTCGAACTTCGGGTTGGACAAAAAATATCATGACATTTCCCAGCCAGTTACGCTTTGAGTATTAGGCTTTCCGGAAGTTTCTTATCGCGGTCTCCGAAGGCCTTGCATGATCCGACAGGCAAATTCGTTCAACGCGACTTGCAGCAGCAGCCGTCCAGTGAGTTATCAATGCGGAAACCGTCCACTTTTAAAGAGTGCACTTCGCAATAACAGATAAGGTAGAAAGCTGGAGCGCCTATCACCACGTGTTTTTCCTCCCAGTGGTATCTTAATGTCGGCAACAAGGCAAGGAATAGTACACGAGGGTTGTACCCTCTTGAAAGATGCCAAGCTTTATAATGTAACATGTAACGTTTGCGCTACACTCATGGACAGCTTAAGACACTCGATATCTTATGAGATAAACATTATCGCTCCGCAGCAAATGAGGTTGCAGCATTAGCCGGTAAGGATGCCAAAGAGTCAATCAGAAAGTACGAATATTAAGTGAATATATAACAAGCTGTGGCTCTGCGGTTTTTAAGGTGTGTCATGACACTATACGAAGCGCAAGTTCGTCTGCCTATTGAGCAGGGGTTGCGGTGAGGCCAGAACGCCGAGCTCTGATTGGTTCTGATTTGAAGGATAGTGGGGAGACCTCAAGGCAGCTAGCATTGAGGTCTACCCGCTGTCCCTCCGTCAGGGCCAATCAGAGCCCAACGTTCTGACGCCGGTGCAACCCCTTCGCAAGAGGCAGACGAACTTGATTCTCGTCTATCACTAGCCAGAATCTCGTCAAGGAACTTGACGAGATTCTGGCTTGTGAAGCGTATATCACGGGTCGCGGGGGAGTAATAGAAATACCGGTCGTTCCTGAAAAAGGAGACCCGCGTTTTTCGGCCCGTGTAAATACAGATGCAGCGCAGTAAGCTCAAGCTCCCTGAGAATGTGACTCAAGCGGTTGGGATATAATGCGGAATGGGTCTCTATATGAACCGCCGTCCACCTAAGCCTGACATCGTGAAAGTATGAAATGATACTGTGGACGCATGTCACGTGGGATTTGTATCATTCAAAGCCACTTGTCATTGGGAAAGATAATATTGTTTTCTTGTTTTGCCGACAAGTTTTTTTTTTCTCACTAAAAAAGATGATGCAGGCGTCCATAACGTCAATTCTTGCTTTGGCGATACGTCGCGTAATATTGTCGAAGCAATTGTGCTGTACGGCGACGACTACGGGTGGACGTCGGCTTACGGAGAAATTTTGTATTCCCCAATTATTTCTTGAACCGGGGTATGTCATCTTCTACAACTTTCGCATTATATCCATAACCGAGGTTAGGATAACATTCTCATCGAGTTTGATCTTTCCGCGATGCATAGTCTATATACGTGTGCCGAAAAAAAAAACAAGAAAACTAGCTCTTTTTTTTTCTTGAGAACGCGCTGTATTGTAAGAATAATACCAATAGCTTTATATTACCATATAAATATGGTGGGAGCGGAGGAAAAAAACTGGGAAAACTGCGAGGAAAAAGCCGAGAACATGCGACATTGTGAATCAGTTGCCGAATAGAGGGTTGCATAACTTAAGATGACGATTGAAGACGAGCGTCTTGATGAATAGATACGAAACATTAAAGTATTTCCCCATCCTCGATGTTTTATTTTAATATATGCGTAACTAAACATAAGCGGTTGTTTTCTTCCTCTGAATTTTACTGGCTGCCGAGTGATAACATGACACAAGGGATTCACCACGCCCTGCGTTTACTAAAGTGACCATAAGTACGCAGTCAGCTCAGTTCGTTGCTTGTACAATATTAACTCAGGTCTGGGGAAACCGTATTGAACCGATAAAAGGATCAACCGCGTATAACACGGGGCGCGTATCTTATGTCTGCGTTTGAATTACACAAGGTTATTTTTGAAACCTGGGTGTTTACACGAAATGTTTCTTTTCTCCTAACATATACTTCTTTTTTATTTTGTTGACCTGTGCTGGCTGCAGTGTGCCTCAGTCCCGGGAACATGCTGCAGTTATGCTTTTAACAAATTTTGCTTCATAAATGCCTGCTTCTGGTCCCGAAATGTAGTACTTATATATTTGGGCGGCGTATGCAGAAAAAAACTGGCCGACTGCTGCTGCGCTTGCAAAGGGTGTGCTAAAAAGAAGCACTGTGAGTGACCGTAGTACCTCGCGCCATCGCAGCACTGCATACATGTTTCAAGCCAACAACTGTTTTTATTAATGTCTTGGTATAACGGTTTTGCACAAAATTCCCCTCAGGTCAGACGGACGAGTGCGCTGTGTAAATGAATATTACGTCCGAGAGTAGCCCCATCCTTTCCCAAACACTATATTTACCTGTCAAAAAAAAAAAAAAAAAAAAAGGAAAAGCAAAAAAAAGTGGAGTTATTTTTTTGTAGATTTTTTTGTAGTGAATTCTTATATGCCTCATATACTGAGACGACAAACAGTCTTTCCAATGCTTGTGTCTTATCGATGATTCTTCTTGAATTTTAGTAGGCGGACATTTGTGATGCTCAGGACCAGTGGAGTATTCCACACACAACCGACACGGGACTCCAAAATTTAGTTGCATTATGAGACCGTCGGATGCATTTGACGTTCCTTATAATCACTGCCAAGGTTGGAACGGCAGTGCATCTCTTTCGAACGCAAGGCAGCCAGCACTCGCTTATTGCTTTCCGCCGTCCTTTTTATGCGCGCTCACTCTCGAGGCATACGAGATGCCGAAGCATTGTCAAAGGTGGGAAGCTCGCGCTGTAGGTTGGACAGCTGACGATTTTCCCTGCCGTTCTCATTCTTTCGGAGACCGGAAGCAACTAAGGAGACCGAGCGTGTGTCACACGGTACCAAGTGATGTTCGCTTTTTTTGGTCGAACTCCTGGCAAAGCAAGGTTAAACACCTGAACGCTAAAATATCCTAGCCAAACTGTGCGAAATGTTTGTTAATTAGTGAAAGCGTGTACTTACGGTGTTGTTCGCGAACACCTCTATGTCCCCCTCGTTGCCCGTGTAGAAGAAGATGGGACCCCCGTCGTGGTCCCAGTATTGATCCGCCACCAGATACCGCATCTTGAAGGTGTCGTTGTTGGCGTAGCCGAAGTGATCGACCTGAAAGGAATCGGGAGACATCTTGTGTTTTCCACAACTCCAAATAATATTGTAGCATCTCTATGAGGGATAAGCCGGTAGGGAAAACTTTTAATTTTATCACACATTTTGAGTTTGTCCATTGCTCGCCCATATAGCCAATCGCTACCTTCTACAGTGATTGGTTCCTTGTCACATTGCTTGAGCATGCACTTTCTATGCGGCCTACCAGTTTCTATGATCTTTGCGCACATCCTGCGTTTGTTTACACCTCAAACGTACCTACGTGGTTTTGCTTCCCCCCGACCTCAAGATTTGACGGCGCGCGTTTGGTTGCCTCGTCATCGCGCGACATGTCGTCATTTGATTGGCGGCCTCCTCCTTGCGTCCCGATGTGGAAAATACGCATTTTGGAACACTTGCTCGCCGTATTGCTGGAGGTGTCGTTGTTGGCTGAGCCGAAGTGGTCGACGAAGAAAGATTGGGTGACACTGCGGATTTTACGAACGCCAAAGAAATTTTCGGCGTCTCTGGGGGGGCTGAGCTGTTATGTAAACCTTAGAATTCATCGCGCGGTTTCAGGTACTTTAGACCGTGCGCCTGGGTGTGAATTTCTCGCCCATAGAACCATTATGACTGTCCTCTGAAGTGATTGTGTCTCCAACACACAGCTTTAGGCGGCGGTCCCACGGTCCCAACCCTATAATACTGGTGGCAGCTGTGCTAACGCTGCTGTGTGCGGTGGAAACGTCGCGTCTCTGTGCGTGCCAAGTATTTCGTTCTTTACGCATATAAATGGCCATTTCATTCTCAGTGTCTTAGTGCAGAACGTGACTTGCATTTTTGAAAACTTGACGCACAATAAGAAAACGAAAAGTCCAAGTTTTGATATTTTCAGAGACATATGCCTCTGCGCATTCCAAGTTTCTAGACTTGTAATGCATCTAAGTCGCGTTCTTATTTTTTTAACGAATAGATGAAGGACACGTGGGGTTCTGCACTTGCGTTATTTTCTTAATTAGTTGACTCGCCTGTTTTAAATATTCAAAAAGTACCTTTTTATGCGTTTTTGAAGTGTCGTAACTCAGTTTCACATCATAAGGCAGCAACGACATTTAAGGGCATGCTCCTAATAAACAAGAGTATCCCCACGTGACATTACTTGAGAATGATAAAAGTTGAAAGAATTTTCTTCGCGCGTTCTTTGGTTTCTCAGGTAAGGTTGTAGCGTCGGATCTAATCTTTTTAAACTGTAAGCTAGCACAACTGGGCTGGTTATCTGTAAGGCTGATTTGGTTGCATTCATATTCAGATTTGTTTAAAAGGAAGCTACGGAGGTTCTTGAAAAAAAAAGAGTTAGAAGTGAATTCTGATGTATTTTTACCCCTTGAACCCGAATACCCAAACCATTTGCTGCGGAAGTATTGTTGAAAACGAGCAAACGCGAAAGGCAGTCGCTGTCCGTGACGTTATCGACTGGGGTAGCCTGCATCACGCAGTAGTGGTACACGACCGCGCGCCGGTACGATGCTTATCCAGTTCGAAACGGACAGGGGTGTGTATGTACCTTTGCCCGAATGCCTAAAAATACCTCCAATTCTGCGCAATTAGAAATAAAGGTTATTTTAATCCGAAATAAAACTTGCCGTTTTCCATCGCACATTATTTCCGGTTATATAGAAAAATACTATATTTTATTTACATTTTATGATAGCTTACGATAATAATTTGGTAAATCAAACAAATAATATCGAACCTATATTAAAATAACAATATTAAAACGTGAACACTGAGAAAAAAAAAAGAAAAAGAAGGACGCCACAACGAACAAAGTCAATCGAATTTTTTTCCCCTACAGTCTCGGGGGTTTTGTTTTAATAATAATATTAATATAATAATAATAATAATATAATATTAATACGATAATAAATCTTTATTTAATATGTCCAAAAACAACCACAGTGGTTCTCACTTTGGTACACACAATAAAAAAAGTAAAAACCAAGCGATCAAACACGGCCGATCAAAGGACAAGATAACATCAAATAGGCCAATGGAAGAGATGCACGGCAAGTACAGATGCCAAGTGGTTGCCGTGTGGTATCGTTACTTTTTACGGAAAACTAGAAATGTCACTGAATACATGCAGGCTGGACAACACGTACGCTTCTATTGAACGAAGTCTGCAAACAAGACATTGGGAACACACTACAAATTGAATGAACGTAAAAGCATAGCAAGATGTGTAGTAATACGGCAAGGAACGTGAAAATATGTTCAACCATCCTCAGTTAGTTTGAGCCCTAACTTTTTTTTTCATTGAAGGAGTATTCTGTAACATCCAGTCGCTTTTCTATTGTTATCCTGTTGATCAGATAAGTTAATCGCCAAGCGTTTCTACTTTTCTAGCGTAGGTCCTTGTCAACCTGTGTCTCGAAAGAGATGGTGTGATAAAAGTTTATGCCGAGTAATATTTTTATTTTTTTTATTCACGAAAAATTAACAAGTCAAGCCGCAAGATCTTTTTCTCACTTAGTGATGTCTTGCACAAAAACATTAGAAATTAAAAAAAAACTAATCTAAGAACTAAAACACTTAAAAAAAGAAAAAAAGATTTAGATTATGATCTTCAGGCCGCCAATCGCGTGTCGCTCGTGTGGGCAGCGCGTGCAATTGCAAGCTTGCCAGGTATATTTTTTTCGCATAGACACCAGTCGTGACGTCCTTTCTTACCTTTTTGTAAAATTGCAAGAGTGCGCGTGCATAGCTTTGATAAGTGCTGAAGTTACGCGAGCAAGGATTTCCCTAGACCCCCCCTAGTTTTCCTGGACCCCCCCCCCCCCCCCCCCTTGAATCTAAAAAAAAAAAAAAGAAAAAAAAGGAAAAAATAAAAATATTTTTTTTTTCAGATTAAGTAGAAAACACCACCTCTCAGGTGTATATACAGAGAAAGGGAAACATACATTACGGGTATGAGCATTTTGTTAATAGACGTCTGTAATAATTTAGCCAGTGGACTAAAAAAGAAAGTTTTATATTTTATCTAGCCTCGCCTCGCATCGCCTCCCCCCCCCCCCCCGCCCCCCCCCCCCGCCCCCCCCCCCCCCCCCCCCCCCAGCCACTGGGACACCCCCCTTGATTAGAATCCTGGGAAACCCCTGTACGCGAAAGTAGAGATTCCGAAAACCCCTGTGTATGACGTCACGCCCCGTGAAGGGAGCTTCAGCGGTACTTTAAAAATGATTTTCTGCAACCTCCGTGCACCAAAATGAAACAAAAAAAAAAAAAAAAAAAGCACTAGATATTCGTGATTCTAGAGGCCAAATGAAGACGATTTATGTGTTTTTCCTGAAATACAGAGCCGCTTCAGTTTCCCTTTAAGCATATTCCACGCGAACCGCAAGTTTGTCTGCTTCTTTGCAGGGGTTGCGATGATGTCAGAATACCGAGCTCTTATTGGCTGATTGAAAAAAAAGTAGTGGGTAGACCTGAAGGCATCTAGCATTGAGGTCTACCCACTATCCTTCCAATCAGAGCCAATCAGAACTCGGCGTCGTTGTGACGTCAACGCAACTCCTGCGCAGGAAGCAGACGACATGCTCTCCGCATTGATTTGAAGGTGTCATTGTTGGCTTACTGGTTCACCAGAAAGAAGTCGGGAGGCACCGCGGATCCGTTTTTACGAGGGTTGAGCTGCTGTGATATTTTATCGTGTAGTGGTCATCACGCCCTTTCAGGAGCCTTAATGCGCGCGCGGGCAGATTGATCGCCCATTGAGGTAATCACTAACATCTTCAGTGATTGACTCCCTAGCACTCTGCTCAAGCACATTCTATCGGTACAGTAATGTGTTCCTTTCTCAGCGTTCCATGTAACTTGTGATCAACTCTCGGGCATGGCGGTACGAATGACGTAGAAGGCTGAAGGACCCTTGGGGTAACGGAAAGGGAGACCATTTTATTTAATGCACTATTTTTTTAAATATCAGACTTATACATCCTATCGCAGCGTCTCGCGAACGCTGCGTGGTGCCCCTCGGTCGAGAAACGGGCCTGTTTTTCGACGTTCGCGGCGTGCAGTCTTACCTTGGTGGTGAAGTAATAGGTATCGTAGGAATATCCAGCACACGAGGCGAGGCCAAAGGCTCCTGCTAACAGCAAACCGAGACGCCACACTCCCGCCATGTTCACCCTTCGACAACTCTGGCCGTACGCGGTCTAGGCTCTCTTCCAACCTTCTGCTGTAGCTTTCCTTCTCTATACGAGCTATCGGAGGTTTGAAATCTCCAAAAGTGGTACGTTTATCGTCTCGACGGGCTCCCGTGACAACCGATAACCGACGTTCGTAATATCGGACGAGTGGAGAGTGTACGTTCAGCGTTCCCTTTCGAACGTTGGCCGCAGATGTTAAACACGTGGAATGGGTTTAAGGACTCTATGTTATAAGGGGAAGTGGCGGGGGGGGGGGGGGGGGGGGGGAGTGTTCGGTGGCTGAGTGTGTTAGCGCATCGCAGCTCGGGGCGCGTGGAGCAAAAGCACGCGCTGCTCAACCCAGAGATCTTCCGTTCAGTCCCCACCCCGGCCCGTTTCGATTTTTATGAGTATATCGTACCGGCGTGGCGGTCGTGTATCACTACTCCGTGGTGCACGTTAAAGACCCCAGGCTAGCAGTCGTTGTGCAAGTTATTTGCTGGAGTGAAACGAAAAACAATTACAGGCAGGTCAAGGTAACATAACGGTCCGGAGAAATGAAAGATACATATAGCAGGCAGCATATTTATTTATTTTTATTTACTTCAGAAATACTGCCGGCCCATTTTTGTGGGCCAAGGCATGGTTGCGTGTACAGTTGCAGGGCAGACATTGGAAAAATATAAAATACGAAATTTTACATAATAAGTTATGCAAAAGTAATGATGATTGTACGGATATTGGTTTACAAACACAATCGTCTAGGACTTGTCACACTTTGAGGAAAGTCATTCCGGTCACGAACAGTTCTAAGAAAACAAGAAGTATCTAAAAATTTACATTTTTACATTAAAATTTGCGAAGTAGATTTTCGTTCTTCCTCCTTGTGTCACGGTTGTTGTATTTAAGATAGCCGTTGAAATTTAACCAAATCGTACCGTGTATTAAAACATACACACTTTAAGCGCTTGACCTTCCTTCGGCATGATGACTATGGTAATGCGGATGAGGCATACAAGGATGACATGAATGTTTACCTGTCGTATGCGTCATAAATTAATCCAAGTTAGTTTTTCTGATCGTCCTCCAATCGATCAATGGATGACGGAGAATGCATGTCGCATAAAATATCTGCATATTCCAATAGCAGACGAATCAAAGAAGTCTACGCCACGAGCTTCGTTTCTGCGGTACAGTGACAGACATTTCCTCGTAAAGACCACAGATAACGGGATCGACGTAATGATTACAGCTAATTAATTATATAAATTGACTATTTCAAAAGAAAGTAAGTTTGTAATATAGTAAAACACAAATGGAGACCTTTTTGTTGGTAGTGTCATTTGAACACATTTCTTTGCGATTAAATTCTTTTGCCAATGTTTGCCCCAGAAAATAGCATGCACAGACTATAATTTAAACATTCCTGATCGGCAATACAAGAGGCTTTAAAAACAAAACACAATCGCATGGAACATACAAACAAACAAACGAACGACGCTGAATGATTGGGTTGACCACCCGAAAATCATTAATAAGCACAAAAAAAAAAAAAAGAGCAAAGGGCCCAGTACTGAACTCTGAAAGACTTCTGAAAGAACAGGAATTTCTGTGGACTCTGCCTTACCAACAGTCACGTTCTGGTGACGGTCCGTTAGGTAAAAGCCAATCCACCGTATGAGACTGTCATTTTCCAGTACCTGCTTAAGTTTATACAGTAATTTACGATGGGGGGGGGGGGGGGGCGATACACTGTCAAAAGCCTTCGCGAAGTCCAGAAAAATAGCATCCTCGCCCTGACCATCATTATTCACTACAATAGCAAATTCACGAAACGTGAAGAAGATGTGTCACTGTTGAATACGCGAGTCGGAAACCATGCTTGTCTTTTACCATTAGGGCTGCAAATTCCAAAAAGAAAAAGATTACGAACTGTTTAAAGATAAAATTCTCAGGAACCTGCCTGCATGTACTGTAGAGCGACACAGGTCATTAGTAGAGAAAATATTTTTGTTACCGCTCTTATATGCCAACAAGCTGGCATATAAGAGCAGTAACAAAAAGATTTTCCCCCTCCTATGATGGATAGCACGGCAGCATATAATATGAATAGTTATTCAGCCTCAAACAGATAGAGGTCTTCCGGACCGACTTTGTATTGCCGACCGTGGATTTTCTGTCACTGAAGTGACATTCGAAAAATAAGTCGCGACTGCACGCGCGAGGCCGATCAACGTACAAGGCAGCAACATTGGACCGTTCGTCGAATAAACTGCTATTTAGCGTGAGCTAGCGTACGTTTGTACTTTGGACACAGCAGGTGAAATCTCCTTCCGCACTCCTTACGTTATGCATTTATGTGTATTGATCGCCATGCCGACCTGACCAGTCAAATAAATCGCGTATAGTCGATGGCAGGTCAAGAACTCAAGGCGAGAGGAAGGAAAGCTGGTGAGGAGTGAGCAGGTGGACTGCTGGGAAGGAGAGGAGAAAACTGCCCTCTCTCTCCAACATTCCGCCTGCTTCCTCCTCCCCAGCCTTCCTTTCCCTCGCCCGGGGTTCTTGGCCTGCCACCGACGATAGGTTATCATACTTGCAGTTCTTTAAGTACCAAAAGTCGCCGATCTTGCACATGAGTGATATTTTCGTCGGTTGTAGCCCCAACGCGTATCTTGAAGGCAGGGTGGTGTTTAGTCTTGGCTTTGTCAAGGACGTTCGGTCTGGGACATTGCCGTAAGTATTGACATGCCACTCTCAGCTTTACCACCAAGGTAAGAGGACGCGCATAACGAGGCTTGAATTCACTTTCTTTTGTAATTTATTGCGTTTCAGTTTTAGGCTAACGCAACATATGTATATAGGTAGGTCACGCATGCAGGTTGTAAACCTGCAGTGGGCAAGATCAAATTGTCCATCTTAGATTTGGAGTGCAAACCTTTATTCGTGGTCCAGAAATCGCTATAGACCACCACGTTGTGCAGAAGCAGGTCAGCATTTAACACGCACCAGGCCGGGGTATGCGGAGCGCAAGGTTACCTGCTTCTTTCGCAGGGGTTGTGGTGGCGTCAAAACGCCGAGCTCTGATTGGCCCTGATTGAAGGGTAGTGGGTAGACCTCAAGGTTTAAATATAAATAAATAAAGGCGGTAGTCAAGGTAGTTTCTGCTCAGCTGTCGATCGAAAGAGCAGCCAACTTTAACTTCACTCGGGTTCCAACGCGCTGGAGAGCAATGTCAACTTTAAAGGGCGAGAATGGTTTCCATATTATTTTGGGGTGGTTGTTTTTGTAGTTTATAATATTAGAATATTGAGTTGGGTAGGTTTTTAAAACTTGAAGGCTGGTTTTGGCGGTCATTTTAGAGAAATTCTATTTACAGGCTAAACGAACGACCGGGTGCAAAAATGGGAGGGGAGAGAGGCTTTATCCCAAACTGAAGTGTTGCGGTGTGATTAAATTTTCAACAGTTTTTGAGTGCCTATTTTAAATAAAACCTACTCTGACCAGAGCCTTTTTATTCCTAAAAGTTAGGTGCTGTGACTCTTTGGCACCCTATTCAATTTTCTTTTATTAACAAAAGGTGATAAGTAATATGGTACGATAAGTAATATGATAACAAAAGGTGATAAGCAATATGGTACGTATGTGCGTGAAGCCTTATGTGCCTCTGGATCCGCATTTTACTTTACTTAGACGACTGTATTTGTAACTTGCGGCTCAAGCATTCCAGAAACGAGCTTGATCCATCGTCCAGGGGCGACGGAAATGGAGGAGGAGGAGGAGGAGGAGGAGGAGGAGGAGGAGGAGGAGAAGGAGGAGGAGGAGGTACGTCTTTTTTTTTTTGTCAGGCGGTTTACAGAATACCGCGCACACAGCTCCTCATCACTGATCAGAGGCCTGGTTCATTATCAACAATTGGACGTGACATCAAGTTTGAGCGCGGCTCGCCTAATTGTGATTGGTCAACCTAATGCACACGATCATATGGGACGCGCCTCAAAGATTTTCAATCGCGCCGTCTTGTACTTTTGCCGTCGAAAACTATCCTTGCTCCACAGCGTTGCACTATTTGTGTTGCCCTGTGATCCATCAGAGTAATATGAAACATAGCCATGGTTAATAGTGCATAAGAGCAACCGTACAGATTGTTTTCTCCTCTTTATTCATGACAAATCGCCAGAACAACTGGACGATCCAGAACTCGACGGCCGATAAATGATGCAGAGAAATCTACGTGCGACACACCTTCAAAACTAGTTCCGAATCTTACGCTTGAAGATGTGATTTTCGCAATAAATGAGCTCGCTCCAAAAAGTCTTGTGGTGGGGACGGAATTCCTGCTTTCATTGTGAAGGGATACAGGGATAGTTTTGCCCCTGTGTTGATACATGTCTTATACATAAATGTATAAGTACAGAATGCAATAGTTGTACTTATACATAAATCTGGTCGCACTGACTGCCGTTAATAACTTTAGACCCATTTCTCTTCTTTGTTATTTTTCTAAGGTATTTGAAAAGGATATATAAGCATATTTATTTTCATTTTAAATCGCCCCTTTCTCTCAACCAGCATGGTTTTTTTTTCAAGGGCGTAAAGTGGAAACAAGCCTTGTATCATTTTCGGAACACATTCTATCTAAGGTCACATCCCGCGAACAAGCTGATGCTATTTATTTCGATTGCTCTAAAGCTTTTGATCTTGTAGATCATAAGAAGGGGGGAAATGTGTTCGCGTCCGTGCCTTGTGTTTTGTCCTTGAGAATGTGTCATTTGCGGGGGTTTCCCTTTTTTTTTGTTTCCCCTTTTCCCCATTAATTGTTTAGACCATATATAAGGTTTATAACAGATGGTTTCCTTACAAAACAACTTCTGCATCAAAGAAAATTCGAAAGCCTTGGGTAACGCCTCTTCATCTTAAAAAAATCACGCATAAGAACCGTTTGTACAAAAATTTCGTTACTACAAGGGACCCGAGTAAATTGATAGTATTCAAAAAGTATCGCAATGCTCTGACGTCGGAACTCAAGAAGGCCAAACATGATTACTACAAAGCTTTATTCAGTGAATGTGCAAAAAAACGTCCAGATGTCGTCTGGAAATCAATAAATGAAATTCTCCAACCCGGCAGACAACATAATTTTTTAGGAGAGCTCCAGGTAAATGGAAAATTGCTGTCTGGAACCTCGCTTGCTGAATGTTTTAACTCTCATTTTGTCAACCTGGCCTCGAGTTCATACTGCGAGGAT